CGATTGCATTCCAACTCGGAAACGCACAAAGGAAAGGGATTAAAAATGCCACGATTTCTTTCTGGGGTGGGGAAAACAGCAGCCACACTTCAGGATACAGTAAGAGAGATTATGGGCATGCAGTTCATCATTATTGCCACGGTTGCCATAGTTACCGTATGCTCTACGACTGCCAGGAAGGAGCTGGTGGCGCTGTGGTCTAAACCACTGAGCCTCTTAGGCTTGCTGATCAGGAGGTCAGCCGTTCGAATCCCCACTAGTGAGCTCCCGTTGCTCTGTCCCAGCTCCTGCCAGCCTAGCAGTTCGAAAGCATGTCAGTGTAGTAGATAAATAGGTACCATTGCAGCAGGAAGGTAAATAGTGTTTTAATGTGCTCTGGTTTCCGTCACGGTATTCTGTTGCACCAGAAGTGGTTTAAGTCATGCAGGCCACATGACCCAGAAAGCTGTCTGTGGACAAATGTTGGCTCCCTTGGCCTGAAAGCGAGATGAGCGCCGCAACCCCATTGTCGCCTTTGACTGGACTTAACGGTCGAGGGGTCCTTCACCTATTTTATGCTCCACTACTGCCAGGCTCTGGCAGAGCAGCAGCAGTAGTCACCCAGCCCCCTCCGCCCCAATGAACAAGCTGGGTCTGGTGTAACTTTACTCTGGCTTAACTTACGCAAGGATGCAGGTGGTGCTGTGGTTAAACCACAGAGCCTAGGACTTGCTGATCAGAAGGTCGGCGGTTCGAATCCCCGCAACGGGGTGAGCTCCCGTTGCTCGGTCCCTGCTCCTGCCAACCTAGCAGTTCGAAAGCACGTCAAAGTGCAAGTAGATAAATAGGTACTGCTCCGGCGGGAAGGTAAATGGAGTTTCCGTGCGCTGCTCTGGCTCGCCAGAAGCAGCTTAGTCATGCTGGCCACATGACCCAGAAGCTGTATGCCGGCTCCCTTGGCCAATAAAGTGAGATGAGCATCACAACCCCAGAGTCGGCCACGACTGGACCTAATGGTCAGGGGTCCCTTTACCTTTACCTTGCGCAAGCTTGCTTTATACCTGTTTCTTGTGCATAGATAGCTCCCTTAATAAGTATGAAACTATCAGAGAAAGAAAGGTGTTTGAATGGCACATATGGCAACACATCTATGCTAAGTTAAGTTGCACTGCTGTGGTGTTACGTTGGTCACAAAAAACACTGTATGTAAAACATATTAGTTAATATAGCACCACATTTTCTTAATATTAAGAACCTCAACGAATAGAAGGTTAAAACATATACCTAGATTTGTTTTGCGGGGGGGGGGGGCGCACCAAGTGTTTCTGTGACTAACGTAACACGCTTAAGCAATGAAGTTTTAGTGCCCTAGTATTGTCTCAGTATTGTCTCAGTAATCACAATGCTGGTGAATATGTATTAACACTTCCAGTGAGAGGGGAAATGTCTAGGAAATTTCACTAGAGTATATGAAAGGTACAGGGACATCTAGCGACTAATACGGAGCGAAGAAATTGTTTTAACCCTCTGTCTGCCAGGAGCTCCATACCAAAGGCAGATTTTCAGAGAAATATCTGCGGATAATCTTTTTTTTTTTGCACTCAAGCCAGTTTTGCAAAACTCTCCATCTCTTGTCCACAGCGTGGAAAGTTTTTCAGGTACTTGCAATCAAGTTATCATCTCAGCTATCATTTCCCCCACAGGCAGCCAGTCTTCTTATGTGGCGTACAGCAGTTGATCCTTTCAGAAAGGTGAATCAGAGAAACCTATGAGGTCCTGACTGAACAAATTAAGTCACCGATTCCCAAGAAGAGAATTTTGGCAGAGATTTGAGGCTGAAACCTATAATTGTATGTTGCTTTGAGACATTCCTGTCGTGAGCAATGAATAAATGCAATAAAAATAATAGCAGTAATAATTACAGATAAGGTTAGATTCGGAGAAAATTCCATCCAACCGTCTAAAACAATGGAACCATGTACATACCGTATTTTTCGTCCCATAGGACGCTCCGTCCCATAGGACGCACCTAGTTTTTTTGGGGGGGGAAATAAAGGAAATTTTTTTTTCCTTTATTTCCCCCCCAAAAGCAGGTCGGGGAAACCAAACCAGGTCGAGGAACATCAGGATGGCGGCGCTGCGCCTCCCTGCTGTCCCCCGAGCTTGTGGGGCTGGCCGATGCCTGCACGGCGAGAGGGGCGCTCTGCTTTAGGGCGCCCTGCCCGCCGGGCGGCAGGCTGCTATCCGCAGCATGGGGAGCCCTGCAGGGACCTCCTGCAGGGCTCCCCACAGTGCGGATGTCTGTCCGGCGCGAGGGGTGCTCTGCTTTAGGGCGCCCCTCGCGCTGGGCGGCAGGCTGCTATCCGCAGCATGGAGAGCCCTGCGGGGAACTCCTGCAGGGCTCCCCATGCTGCGGATGTCTGCCCGGCGCGAGGGGCGCTCTGCTTGAGGGCGCCCCGCCCGCTGGGCGGCAGGCTGCTATCCGCAGCGTGGGGAGCCCTGCGGGAGTCCCACAGGGTTGCCTAGGCTGCGGATGTGTTCCCGAAGTGCCTGGCGCTCTGCTTTCAGGGCGCCCGACGCTCCGGGAAGCAGGCTGCTATCTGCAGCCTAGACATCCCTGCGGGACCTCCTGCAGGGCTGCCAAGGCTTGCGGATGTCTTCCTGAAGCCTGGAGAGCGAGAGGGGTCGGTGCACACCGACCCCTCTCGCTCTCCAAGCTTCAGCGAAAGCATGCATTCGCCCCATAGGATGCACCCAGATTTCCCCTTCATTTTTGGAGGGGAAAAAGTGCGTCCTATAGGGCGAAAAATACGGTAAGTGAGATCAATAAAAGCTTGTTCCAAAGAATATGTATGTGCTTAATAATGCTGATTTTCCGGACATCATTTCTTCATGCTGTGAAGTACACAAAGCAACAACCATCATTACCTATCTTATTTTTAAAATATTTTACTGTATTTTAATTTTAAAGTGTAGCTTTCATAACACAGTCTCTAGTCTAACCTAGTGAATGTTGAGTATTGACTTACTTTATTTTTTCATGGCTGAAGGAGCTGACATGTTTTTATTTCTACAAGATTCAGTTAGAAAATTCTTTTTACTCCCAGAGACTCCTAACAGCTCATAATTTATCTCAATGCAGAAGACAATTGTCTAGACGAATGTTTAGAAACTTTTGCTGGTGCCCAGTGTATCTTCATAGTACATTTCTCCTTCCAGAGACCCTGCTGTCAACGTTCCCTGCTGTTTGAGATTTTCATCTTTTGTATTATTATAGTTTACTAACTAAGGCATAGTTTTTATTTTTCAGTGCAGTAATTTTTGGTTCACATTAAGAACATAAGAGCATCTCCCCTGGATTAAGTCAACAGTCCATCTATTTTTTAACACCACCCCCAAATTTGTCAGAAACAGTTTGACATAAATACAATCCAATATTTTCCAACTAATATATGTGTTTTGAACTTTCCCCCACTCCTTTTGGGGTTTCTTATATTTTTAAATTTATAAAACTGCATTTCCTTCACTACTCCCATTATTAACTGTTTCCTAGTTATCTTTTAACATTAAATACAACTGTTTGGTTTAAGTTAATCCTGCTAATGAATTTATATGTGTACAGTAACATTTCAGATAATCCAAAAAATTTCCCTAGTCTTTTATAATGCTCCTCCCGTCCCGCGGTCTTTTGGTTCCTTATTCCTCTGTAAGTTTTGCCATTTTGGCATAGTCTGCGACGACTACTTGGCTAGTACTGAATCTTCTTTCCATTCCAGAGCATAAATCATCCTGGCTTTTTACCAGTGCAGGTTATGCGGCTGTCGGCTATTGTTTCCGGGGCGCCTGCACCAATCAGAAGCTGAGTCTTGGTTTCCAAACATTTTGGAAGTCAAATGGACTTCTGGAACAGATTAAGTTTGGCGCTTTTGTTTTTGCTATTTTGTTCTTGAGACGTTTTCGGTTAATTTGTTTTTGTGACTGTGTGGAACACAATTCAGCTACCAATTGATTGTGTGAAATTGTGCGGAAATGGATAAAAGCCCCCCATCCAAACAATGACTATCATCAGTGTAGGTAAGAAAAAAAATTATTTTTTTTATCACCTAGAACAGTGTTCCCTAACCTTGGGCCTCCAGCTGTTTTTGGACTACAACTCCCATCATCCCTCGCTAGCAAGACCAGTGGTCAAGGATGATGGGAATTGTAGTCCAAAAACAGCTGGAGGCCCAAGGTTGGGGAACACTGATCTAGAATACTGTCTTATTTATTTTATAGTACAGTACATTGATTATTGCTTTCATTTTATGGATCAATGGCCTTGTTAGAAAGCAAAAATCAAGTTAAATTGCTGTTTTAGGGGTTGTTTTTAAAAGTTTGGAACAGATTACAGTGGTGCCCCGCAAGACGAATGCCTCGCAAGACGAAAAACTCGCTAGACGAAAGAGTTTTCCGTTTTTTGAGTCGTTCCACAAGACGAATTTCCCTATGGGCTTGCTTTGCAAGACGAAACGTCTTGCAAGTTCTTGCGAGTTTGTTTCCTTTTTCTTAAAGCCGCTAAGCCGTTAATAGCCGCTATTTGATTTTGAGGTCAAGGGTCCATCTAGTTCAGTATTCAATTTCCCAGAGCAGCCAGGTGGTCAGGTGTCCTGAGGATGCTCACAAACCAGACGGGAGGTTGGCTTGTTTATAGCCACTGCTACAGAGACGTCTACTGCCTTTCAATATGGAGGCTCCATTTAGCCAACAAATTTAGCCACCAATTTCCTCCATGGATGTGTCAAATCTAAGCCACTCTCTTTTGGCAGCTAATTCCATAATTAATGGAATTGTTCCACAATTAATTTTCTGTTAAAAAGCAGTTTGAATAAATGCTCTCTTTTGCCAGTCCTGAGCTTACTGCCATTTAATTTAATTGGGTGACCCCCCCCCCAGTATGAGTTTTGCTGATACACAAGAGGAACAGGGATTCCTCTCTTCCCATGCAAAAGATCTGTATCGCGAATGAAAACAACAAGAGGAAATGCAGCAGTGACATTTATTGGAAATTCTCCAAATGATACATGTGAATAAGTCCAACTTAGGGTGTCTGCCTCTAAAAAAAAAAAAAGTTCTGAAAAAAATTGCAATGTGCACCTTAACAAGTTGATCAACGCAGTACACAGTTCAACAGTTCTATGGGACTGGTTCTGTATGCACAATATTGCTTCAAGTGAAATTGCAAAAAAAAGGAGAATTACTTTCCCCCTTCCACCTGGGAAAATGCAATTATTAGTATGATTTCACCGGATTCCATGTGAGTTTATTCATTTGGGTAAGAAAATAATGCTAGGCACAATCTATTAGAAATCTGTCTTCCACAGTGGAATTTCCTACAATGTCACCTGCTAGACTGTGCCCCGTGATGATCACACCATTGTTATCAACTAACAAGAAAAGACTGATACTGCCGTTTTAAATCAGAAAACCAACTTTGTTGTCCCTCGGATTTGCTTGTCGCTTGCATTATGCATTTTACAAAGGAAATATTGGCACTCTCTCCAGCTCACCCCACACCTATGAGTAAGACACTTGGCTGAATTTGGCACTTGGCTTATTATTATTTTTCTAAAAAAAACAACAATACCTGGAAAAATATAACAAATAAATCCCCACTGGATGTTACGATAATTCGATTCAAGCATGTTCCCACAAATGCAAATTTCCTGCGCATGATTAACTGCTATTTTCATAGCTCCCTCAGATCGAAGATCGACTTCAGGGTCGGGTCTACAAGACAGAAGTGGCTTCCAGAAACAACAGATCTTCAGCGCTGTGCAAAATCAGAGACTGATAAAAGAATGGGAAAAGCCCGGAAAAAGCATTGAACTGTGTCTATTGGTATTGAATCCTGCTTCTAAACAAAACGAGAAAAGGTACGCCACAGAACAGATATCGTAAGCTGAAATGTACGAACCACTAGATTTGGACGACGGCTTCCCTGCAGAGTAAACACGTCTATCTGCTTCTCTGAGGCAAGGGCATTTTTGAGGCATCGCAATAGTCTACATAGAGAATCCTGAAGGTGTGTCAGTGCCCATATCCCAATAAAGGGAAAAATCTGGACGGGTCATTGGCCCTTTGCACAGAGAGAGGTTGGGGACTCTTACAAGGCTTCCTTGGCTCGTTGAAACCATGTATTCATCACATATTAAACTGCATGAAGCAGCATTCAAATCGAAGGTTATCTTATGTGCCAGAAGACAGGCAGGAACTCCATGTAACGTATCTGTTGGTGTGCATCATGTGAGAAAATGGGTGAGAAACGAAAACTTCTATTCTTTCCCCACATAAAATGATTCCTACACCTACAGAGCTAGCGCGTCAGAGGGGAAAGCTACCTTGGAAACACGTGCTAGTTCTGTATATGATGAAGGGAGTAGTTTATTTGAGGGAGCGTTCACACATTTCACAGCCAACCGGCTATTCATCATGGTGTATCTCCAGCGAGATACATCATGCGAGATCTCCAAGAGCCTGTTTCGGCTCTTAATTTCACACCACAGTGAACGGGGGAAGAGGAACGGCTTCCAACCTTCGCTTTTCCGGCCTCCGTTGGGGAGAATAAGGCATGGCCACTTCTCTGCATGCAGGAGAAACATGGCCCCGTTGAACTCTCCTCAACAGCTGAGCCGCAGAATGACAGCCGGTCAGGGTTATTCTTGGACGTATGTGAAAGTCAGCAGAATGAACTGCAGGCACGTAAGAGCTTACAGGGATGTCCTCCACAAAAATGGCCAGAGACACACACACACACAGAAAAAAACCTTACACGAAACACAAAAGAAATCCCCAACTAAAATGGAAAACATGCTGTTCTTTGGAGGGGAACAATTACATTCTTGTTTTCTTTTCAAGTATTGATCAATGTATATAAAGACAACAACATGTTCCTTTCACTAGATCCAGAGAACATATTGAAGTTGACATTTAAGTTACCAGCGGTCCAAAAGGGTGGACTTTCATCTCTTTCCCTTTACACCAATCCTAAATATACATCTAATTGTCTTCTTTAGATCCAATCTTCTTTTTCTTTCCTTTTTTTTTTTTGCATTGCTATTTATGTACACCCATTATTAAAAACATTTAACCTGGGATTTGCATATCAAGATTTTAAAAGGCCTCTCCGCTGCTAGAAGAATCCCAGTACCCGTGTGTGATTATGCAGATACCTTCTACGTTTGTCGTTTTCCCTTTTCTTTATTGTTCGAAACCGTGTTGCCTGCAACGCTTCACTTATGGCTTATTTCTAAAATTTGCTTGGGTTACAGTTTGCTTCCTTTAGCAGCTGTTCACAGTCAGGCAGCACCTCTTCCGGCAAGTATTTACAGATTTTCTCAATAGTCTTTCTATAGAGCGCCTTCTCTTCTTCCAGAGACTGAATTAAGCTCTTCATCTTGCTCTCCCTTTCCAAGACGTCTTCCAGGTTCGATTCCACACTCTGGATTTTAGCATGGGCTGCCTAATCGGAAAGCAGGAAAAGGATTTTTTTAAAACAATGAGTGTCGTTGAGAGCAGAAACACATAGCACCTACCTGCATAAAATGCTTGCAAATACGTTATACAAATTGCTCACTGTTCCCTTCAGGTGCATTTCCTGTTTGCTCGCTGTAGTTCTTGCAATACAGGCACATCTAATTTCCAGTTCACTGAAAAGAACTACTTGCACAAAGCTATTTTATTGTGGATCTTAACTTCTAGTCATAGTCTACTGCACTTTGGCAACAGCCATTCCAAATCTGTGTGCTGGGGTACCACAGTGTCTAAAGGTAAAGGGACCCCTGACCGTTAGGTCCAGTCGTGGCAGACTCTGGGGTTGCGGTGCTCATCTCGATTTATTGGCCAAGGGAGCCGGCGTACAGCTTCCGGGTCATGTGGCCAGCATGACTAAGCCGCTTCTGGCGAACCAGAGCAGCGCACGGAAACGCCGTTTACCTTCCCGCCGGAGTGGTACCTATTTATCTACTTGCACTTTGACGTGCTTTCAAACTGCTAGGTGGGCAGGAGCAGGGACCAAACAACGGGAGTTCACCTCGTCACGGGGATTCGAACCACCAACCTTCTGATTGGCAAGTCCTAGGCTCCATGGTTTAACCCACAGCGCCACCCGCGTCCCTACTACCACAGTGTCTACCCAGCTCCATATTGTCTACACCGACTGGAAGCAGTTCTCCAGGGTTTTGGGCAGAAAGAAGTTCCTCTCAGCCCTCCCTGGGGATGTCAGGATTTGAACCTGGGACCTTCTGCACGCAAAGCAAATGCTCTCCCACTGGGCTATGGCCCTTCTACTCTGGCATGGATGGATACAACCTGGTGTGTTTTCCTATCCTACCTCAATGAACCTGAAGACTAAATGAAGCATTCACCATCAGATGTTTGGCAAATGTGTAAAAAAAACAGGGGAGAGGATGGAATTTGAAGAGGAGAACTGTTGGCGGGAGTGGCTCACTCTTCCTCCATAATCCTCTTCCGCAGCCACCAAACAAAGGACTGGGAGTTTCCTCTGAGGAAAAGAGGCTGGGATGTGGAAATACAGGAGGGCGTCAAGTACCGGCTCCCGAGGTTTCTCCTTTAGTTTAGTCCAGACCTGGGTCTTCTGCTAAACATTTAGAGCAGGTGTCAGCAAACTTACCACGTCTCCAGCACCGATTGCATGGAGGGTAGGGGAGCACGTGCCCAGGAGGAGGAGCACCGGAAATAGCTTGTGCGCAGGCCTCCTCTGACCCGGATGAGCACCGGAAATAACACTTGCGCATCAGCAAATAACACTTGCGCATGTGCAAATAACGCTTGCGCATGCGCACAAGCTATTTCCCGTGCTCCTCCGACCCGGAAGTGGGCAGCTGCACAGCGCAGCACCGGTTAGAGCGGGTGGTGGCAGCGGGGGTTGCCGTGGGCCAGATAAACGAGTCCCTCGGGCCTTATCCAGCCCGTGGGCCTTAGTCTGGGGACCCCTGATTTAGAGAATCAGAGAGCCTGAACGGATCTATTAGGTTTCCTAGGCCAACCCCATGTGCCACACCGGTTCTGCAATGCAGGATAAAGTCACAACATGCAGCTTGGCCCTTGGTAGTTTACCTGTAGTTTCTCCAGGAGGTCCATATTCTGCCTCTTCAGCTGATTGTTTGCCCTTTCGAGTTTCTCGGGAGCCTCCCCATCATCGCACAGATTTGAGTTCTCTTGCAGTTCGTCTTGCAGAACGTGGTACTCCACCTCATAGGCATGCAGCTGTTTGGAAATATCCATCTCAAAGACCTACCGACAGAAGAGAAAATATTTGGAGAATATTTAAGGGTTATATAAGATCATATTGTACCAACCACACCACATTAGAAACGTGGATTATCTGCGGACAAACACCGGCTCCCTCGGCCTATAGAGCGAGATGAGTGCCACAACCCCAGAGTCGTCCGTGACAGGACCTAATGGTCAGGGGTCCCTTTACCTTTACAGTTAAAAAAACAACTAACCAACCACACACACATTTGTAATTGCACGTGTACATTTTTAAAAACGCACACACATTTGAAATATATTCCGATGACATTTGGAGGATGCTGCAAGTGTGCATTTGTTTGTTTCAAATGTATTTTGCTGTTAACCTTTGACATTTGTAAAACATTTATACAAAAAACAGCAAGCTAAAAATATACATGTATGTATTCGGATGATAATAATAAGGCCTATACATTAGATAGGCATATATGGAATTGTAATTGCTCACTTCTATAATGACACAGTATACCTTTTCTTTTATCCTGTTCAGTTAAAATGTTTTTTAAAAATTAATTTCAAAAATACCTTCGAATATGGCAATATCTTGAAACTGCAAGATAAAAGTTACAGTGATACCTCGGGGTTACAAATGCTTCAGGTTACAGACTCCGCTAACCCAGAAATAGTACCTCAGGTTGAGAACTTTGCTTCAGGGTGAGAACAGAAATCGCGTGGTGGCGGCAGTGGGAGGCCCCATTACCTAAAGTGGTACCTCAGGTTAAGAACAGTTCCAGGTTAAGAACGGACCTCCAGAACGAATTAAGTTCTTAACCCGAGGTACCACTGTATAACACTGACCCACAGAGAGCGCTCTTTTCAGGTAGTCCTTCACAGAACTGAGTTTTCAATCTCCTCCATTCACCCAGATATAAGCTAACCAGCCAACTCCTTAAAGATGGCTTCACGCCAGAGCTTTGCACTCCCAGGATGGTCTCAAGGGCACTAACAGCTTGTGCATGAAATTGTTCACAGCAAGCACCCAGTCTGCTGGCTTGAGGTGGAAACTGAAAGAGACAGGGTATGAGCAATATGACTCACAGCGTCAGGATTACAACCTAATATTTGTCATTAGAACAAGAGTGAACTTTACAGAGTGCTTCCTGTACACCAGCTCAATAATCCTTACAAAAAACCCCTGTAAGGAAGGCCAGATCAAGCCACCTTGTGTTATGGGAGAAGCGAGGTTCAGGTCAGGGGCTTTTGGTTCACAGCTCAGCTCTTTAGGCACTATCGTATAACTGAATGGCCAAGTGATACATTATCAATGCATTTGGAACAGACCATTAATACCTGCGTCATAATCTTTTCCATTTGGAGCTTTGTCATGTCTGGTAGAGTGTTTTTCAGAAACTCGACGATGCTTTCAAAAGCCTCGCACGTCATGATGTCTTCCTCTTGGCTGCTTAGCAAACTCAGTGCTACTTTAAATATGACTTCTGTTCCCTGAAGAAATATAATGTCTAGGGCAGAGAACAAAACACAGATTAGATTGTGTTTCCCATTTAAAATGTTGTTTTATATACATAATTACATTGAAGATTCAAGGGGATAAAAAAAGTCACTTGTTTTGTGTTGTTACACTTATCTGTTAAAAACATGTTTTATAATTAACATATATTGTCATACACGCTTTAATATTCCAAGTCAAGAAAGCGTGTCGTGTCTTCTCAAGTAAAATCCAAGCACAAAACATGGCTTGGTTAGCATAGCGTACCGTCACCATGGCCCAAGAGCTAATGAAATGTAGGTTAGGCTGGCCTCAACTAGAGCCAGGGCTTTTTCAGCTGTGGCTCCGATCTGGTGGAACGCTCTGTCACAAGAGACCAGGGCCCTGCAGGACTTGACATCTTTCCGCAGGGCCTGCAAGACAGAGCTGTTGCACTAGGCCTTTGGTCAGGGAACAGCCTGACTCCCTCCTTTGGCAATCTTCACAGAATCTCTAGCCCAATGGTTGCCATCAATTTGATTTGAACTAATTTTATAATGAATGATTTTAGAATTTTGTACTATTTTATTGTTGTTAGCTGCCCTGAGCCCTGCTTCAGCTGGGGAGGGCGGGATATTAATAAAATTATTTATTATTATTATTATTATTATTATTATTATTATTATTATTATTATTATTATTATCATCCTGAAATACACTTTTAAAAAATTCCTGCAGAAGGATCAGTTTCAGGGAAAAAAGAAGTCTTAAACAATTGTTCTAGTGCAGAAGGAGTGCCCAAACTACTCAAAAGGATGTTTTGTTACATACACACACGAATTAGGGAACAGTTCTGACACATGAGAAGCTGATGTCAAATAAGCCAATGTATGTTAGCCAGCGTAAAGCAGAATTAAATGTGGATGGTCTGGTATAAATCTGTCACTAAAGGCACTATGATTACGTCAAAGGCATGTTGCAGAATAGGACACACACCCCAAAACCACCAATTTGGAGGGGCCTATTATTGATCTGCCCAGCCAATACACTGAAAAGCTTCTTACCAAACACTCTGGCTACAAATCCCAATGGAAACTGCGAAGCAAATAAAGTCAGAAACCAGGGGGCAGCATAAAGGCTGGGGCTGATCTCGTTCTCTTCAAGGTGGTTGTAGAGGTCTCTGTGGTAATCATGCAGTAGCCTCGATAGCTGGTACATCTGGATCTGTGAAGAAGAAGAAGAAGAGTTTGGATTTGATATCCCGCTTTATCACTACCCTAAGGAGTCTCAAAGCGGCTAACCATCTCCTTTTCCCTTCCTCCCCCACAACAAACACTCTGTGAGGTGAGTGAGGCTGAGAGACTTCAGAGAAGTGGGACTAGCCCAAGGTCACCCAGCAGCTGCATGTGGAGGAGCGGAGACGCGAACCCGGTTCCCCAGATTACGAGTCCACCGCTCTTAACCACTGCACCACACTGGCTCAGATTAAGAATTTCTCTGACTTCTTGTGCAATTCGTACCTGCTATCACAGTTTCCCCAAGGCTGTTTGGGTCCCCTCTCCCTGTGGCTGCTGTTCACATGATGCTTAGTCTGTCCAGAAGGTGTGGCCACATGTATATATGTGCATAGCTAGAATTCACTGCCATAAGATGTGGTTATAGTCACTAATGCAGGCAGCTTTTCAGATTCACAGCACCCAAGGTTGTATTTCAGGTTGGTTTTTCTAAGCTAGAAAATGATCACAGATCTCCCAAATAATGTGTCGTTTGTCCCTTACTCTAACTGATAAACTATGTTGAAACAGTTAATGTACTCTCCTGTGAACTAGCACTCTGGAATTTGTCTTAGGAATTCCAACCAGAACAGCACAGAGGAGGGAGAGATCTGCACAGCTCTCCCTCAAAATCGAGAAATGAAAAGCAGGGAGATATTGATCAGCTGCCACGTCTTATTACATTGCCAACAGAGGGTTACACTTTAAAAAAGACGCTATTTCTGAGTGAGGGAATAGTTTGCCACATCACTTTGCTGCTGCAACAAGTTGAGCGAGGGTGAAACCTGGCCATGAAAGCGAACTAGCTTCTAACACCGTGTTCCTCTGATTCATCGCTTCCACTGAAGGTACCTAATAAAGTCATGGAGCAGCAGAATATTTGGCAACAGAGTACGCGGTGAATAGTGTAAACTGCTGAGATGGTTGAGAAAAACACAGGGAAGGTGGAAACAGTGGTAAGAGAGGTTGTTCTGAGTACGACGAGAGATCAGAAACCAAAGGGAACCAGGCGGCAGGTCACATTTAGTTCATGAGCCTTCTGCAGTGCTGCCTTCAACTCCTTTCTTTCTCCCAAGCAGAAGCCTATTTCTGCCTTACCTGTAGCGACATCATGTCCGGCCTGTACTGCTTCCGGAAGCCGAGGTCGTACATGAGGAATTTGAGCATTTCGAAGGCTTGTTCTTCGCTCATGTGGAGGAGCAGCACCCCAGCTACAAAGCTGATACCTTGGCAGTAGCCCACCTCCTTGTCCAGCAAGGAATAAGCTTTCAGAAGATTGAAGAGGGAGAGCTGTCCTGCTCCTAACTGAGCAGAGAAGTAAGGATGTGTTGGGAAGGTCCTCCCTGGTGCAAAAAGAGAGAGAGAATTAGAGTTGTCATCTGGAATGAAGAACTCTCAGGACACTCAGTCAGAATAATAATCAACAGAAGTTCTATTACCAGTGTATGTAATCATTTGGGAAGCTAGCCATGTGTGTAACTGACTAGCTTCCAAAGTGTTTGCTTACACACACATACACAGATATAACCCTTGTTATATACACTTCCTAACCATGGGCAATAGTCAATAACAACAACAAACACAACAACAACAATAATAATAATTTATTATTTATACCCTGCCCATCTGCCTGGGCTTCCCCAGCCACTCTGGGCAGCCCCCAACAAAATATCAAAACACAGTAATGCATCAAACATTAAAAGCAGGGAAGCCTTCAGATGTCTTCTAAAAGTCTGGTAGTTTTTGTTCTCTTTGACATCTGGTGGGAGGGCGTTCCACAGGGCGGGTGCCACTACCGAGAAGGCCCTCTGCCTGGTTCCCTTAACCTGGCTTCTTGCAGCAAGGGAACCGCCAGAAGGCCCTCAGTGCTGGACCTCAGTGTCTGGGTAGAACTAAGTTTTACTCAGAGCAAACCCATTGAAATCAATGGATCTAACTTAGTCATGTTTGTTATTTTCAATGGGTCTACTCTGAGTAAACCTTCATTGACTACCACCCCATTATCCAATAGCAACAGAATGTTAAACTTCTCTTTCGTCTCTCAGCAGGACTAGGAAGTCTCCCTCTCTCTTGGCTCCTTACACTGTGCTACTCCTGGGCTGCGGCCTTGAGAAGTGTGAAAATGAACCATCCTAAGCAAATGAAAAATGGGGTGCTTATTATTGGGGGCAGTTTCCAGGCACAACAACTGGCAGCCATAAAACAATAAATGTAAGCATGCTGCAGGATTTGGGTGGCATAGAAGAAGTACAGAATTGAACACTAGGCACAAAATTCAGGTTCCCCAAAAAAACTATTTTCTTTGTTGAACGTCAGATTTCTAAGCCTCGTGGCTAAAATATTCAGCTGCATGTTTACACCTAGTGCCACCTAATGTTTCAGAAACCAGAGTGGGTGGCTGAATAAGACTTCAAGAGAGAAAGAGTTAGTCTTCAGTGCTCACGTAGTTCTTTACCCAGTGGCTAGCAAAACAAAAATTTATGCAAAATAAGAGGTGTTACCCTGGTACAATTTATACAATCTGCAGAACTGGATTAACTTGGAACAAGTCCTGTCCCCTGTCCCCCCCGCTGCCCAACACATACCCCCACCTCCAACCTGTTCATGACCTAAAGTCCTGACTATGGGGGGGAAAGTTACCTAGGTCTACAAGGATTGCATGTTGCTGAGCTGTCAACTGTTTCAGGAGTTCTTTGTATGAGATATCAGGGGGCTGCTGTTTATTTGGTAGCCGGTGCCTTACGCGATGCTGCACAGCAAGAAATTGCCATATTTCTCCCCGGCGACTTTTGGGAACACCTGAACACAGAAGATATAAAACAACATTATTCAGGGGAATTGTGGGGTGGTTTAATAGAGTTCACTACAAATATAAAGATTACCCATTTCTAATTTATAGCCATTAGGGTCATTATTTTGAACTTCTATGCACTCTGTTCCACATTAACACTTTCAACATCTCATTTATTGCAGCCTCACAACTGGGCAAAAAATTGGATCCTTTTGCTGGCCCAGGAGCCTCAGAATTTTCAGACCTATTTTCTGAGCTTTGGGGAAACAGTTTACTTTTCCACCCAAACTCAAGCGAAGCACTCCCTTTCTCTAGTTACTGTAGAGCTCAGAAATCTTTAAGACTCAAGGGGACTCAAAGGGACTATAATTTCCCAGTTTTCAACTGGAAATGCAAGGCAACAAAAGCGAGGGAAAATCACCAGAAAAATGTCATTGCTTTGCATCAGGCTCATTCCCTGCCTATGGTGGTGTTCAAACAGATGAAAAATGCAAGGTCTCCCCCCCCCAAAAAAGGCACTCAAAATTACCATCTTTCAGAGTTGCATGGATATCTTCCATGTCGCATCTGATTTTGGCTCTGCAATTCAACAGCTTCTTATCCCAGATATTGATAGCGTCTTTCTGACAAGTACCAACTTCCTCATAGTCCAGCTTAACCTTTCTGGACTGGAGCTCATCTCTGCTTGCTGCAAGAGAGAACACAAGGCACAGACCATTTCAGATGATGGACCACAGACCAGCAGTTAATGCCATGTAGGCCACATATCAGGTTATGTCACGTCAACCATCCTACAGGCTGAGGTTTAGGAAGGCATGTTTGGGGGCAGTTACACATGGTAGTGTTCTCTTACTGTGCAAAAGCTCTGCACACTTACAGCCTTGTACAACCAGCTCTTAAACTAAAGCTGTAGAAAGTTCGGTAAGACTCAAGAATAAATAGAAGACTTTCTTAAAACCTGTGGGAAGGTGAGAACATGCACTCAGCTGTCTCCCCTGAGCCAGCCTGGTACACAAGCTCCTTCTGTAGATGATCTGAATTCCGCTGTATGGTTCACAATGTGATTATCCTGTCCTAAAGCTAATCAATAGATTTGTTGGAGTCGCAAAGAACATGGCGGTTGAATAGATGGAAGCAGCACATGCAAGACGTAAAGCTACAATTCCATCACTCAAACTGCGAAAGATTTAGTGCTATTTTACTATCTGCTGTGCTTCAAATAGTGGTTTACATATAAGGAGGGGAAGAAAAGATTTTCCTTACGTGCATCTTACCTTCTATAAAAGAAAATATAATTCAAGCTTCCTCGACAGCATTAAGAAGAATAGGAAATATTTTTATTAGTATTTTGTCAACAAATTTCATCTGGTGATGAATAAGCAAAGAGGGGATACGGGCAAGAATAAATTGCGCAAAGGCAGGCGTGGACTCTGCTGCAACTTGGTTTATCAACTTAGCTCTCTGTGCAAGGGAAGGTGAGGAAGAAGGGAGGCAGGTTTATACGTTGTCTCAGCCATCGAACGATGCAATGTTAAATGCTATGTGATATAGCAAAGAATTTGAAGCTGATGCAAATCAACCAGCTGAGACGCGCTGATTAGAAACTTCCACTCTAGCAGAATTCCCACTGCCACAGTTTGTTTTCTCATTTTCACCACTTCATAATTCAACGTTATTATGGAAGGAAGAGAAAGAGGTGTTTGCTTTATGCCTTTTTAAACCCACAAAACTATGTAAAAGGGATTACAAGGCACTTCTGTCTACATTTTCTTCACAAGCATCTCTGCCAAATGGTGTATGATGCAAGTGCCCATATGCACCTCCTAGACATTTCAAATAAGCTAAAAATAAATAAACAAACAAAATCCAAAATCTGTGGTATTGTTTGAAAAGCTGAGTGTCCCATTTAAAGGCCTGCTTATCCCTCAGCCACCTCATTAGAGCTGAAGATATGTGAGTGAGTGAGGGAGAGAAAATACAACACATACAAACCCCCAACTTTCTCCACAAAGAAAAAAATCCCCAGGATGTTAGGGATGGGCCCAGCACTGATCACCCTCACGCTGATTCTGTACATACGAGAAGTTGCAAAAGATTTAATTTTCAGCTTCACCACTAGATTCTGCTGAATTTATAAGCTGGCTCGGATATTTTGTGGACGCTAAGACAGTGACATTCCAGAGGCAATGTTCAAAGGGCATTAGTTTTAAAGCCTCCCACCCTTGAGAAAACCTTTCCACGTCTGTTTTTGTGTGCCACAGAAGACTTTCATAGAACAGAGGGTATTAGGACTCACGTGGAATGATGGGACATTGCAATGCCCTGTATGAACTGACAGTGTGCCCTAACTTAAAGGTAAAGGTACCCCTGCCCGTACGGGCCAGTCTTGCCAGACTCTAGGGTTGTGCGCTCATCTCACTCTATAGGCCGGGAGCCAGTGCTGTCCGGAGACACTTCCGGGTCACGTGGCCAGCGTGACATCGCTGCTCTGGCGAGCCAGAGCCGCACACGGAAACACCGTTTACCTTCCCGCTAGTAAGCGGTCCCTATTTATCTACTTGCACCCGGGGGTGCTTTCGAACTGCTAGGTTGGCAGGCGCTGGGACCGAACGACAGGAGCGCACCCCGCCGCAGGGATTCGAACCGCCGACCTTTCGATCGGCAAGTCCTAGGTGCTGAGGCTTTAACCCACAGCGCCACCTGCGTCCCAGGTGCCCTAACTTATGCACCAAATTACTCTTTTTGCCGGTGCACTGATGGCAAAGAGCAAAAACAGGTAGTCAAGTTTCCCTAAAGGCAGCCAGGCAATACTAATCTCCTCAGCCAACTCCTGAGGAACACAGCTGAAAGCTACTGTGGTGGCAAGAGAACAGAAAGGAGCAGAGAGTCTGGCTGGAGGGAGAAAGTAAAACAACAAAACAAAGAACAGGGTGGTGATAAAATGACTACTGTAGTCAACACAAGACACTATCCCCAGTTTAACAAACTGAAAGACATCGTCCTCTTTCTAGGCTCCTCCCAATGGAAACATGCAGATGGGGACAGATATGCCCCTGCTTTAAATCATTTACATACTTTGCTACAAAGTTCAATGACTAAGCTCTTTAGCGACGAAACGTCGGATTACCGGAACAAAGTCATAAAATCTATTTTGGAAAGAGAAGAAATGAGCACTGAACCACTGATATATATTACAAACGAAGTATTTATTTACTGTGTTTGCTACTGTTTAAGTTAAAAGCAATTTGGGAAAGAAACTACTTTCGCCATTTTTATGGACGTTTATTGGTTTACTGTTTGTTTGCAGGTAGCTGCCTTAGTGATATTATCTTGTGTCGATTGGAGAGCAAAAGTGGCAAGAAGGACAGAACGGCAGCAAGGGCTGTGAAGCTGGAGGCAAAACTGGAAGTAGGAACTGCCTATCATAGTACAGATTAAGGAAAATAAACATAGTTTTAAGGTGCTGAACTGCAACAGGGATCGCAGGTCCAGCCAGACCCAAAAGCCATCCAGGATGGGCTTGTCATTCAAATTTTTTCTTAATTTTGTGACGCATACCAAAAACCTTTATACTGAAGGACGAAATGTAAGCCCATGAAAAAGGCAGTCGCACAACACCATTTCATTAGCTACTTCTGCTTCAAGTTCCGCAGGTAATTCGTTAACTGATTCCTGGGACGTCCAAGCCTGGAAGGCAGAGCAACCATTCTTTATCTTAACCTTCACTAACCTTCCAATTTCTGGTTTTCCTTTTCCATTCGAAGCAGCAGTATTTGCTGATGGATGGCTTTTCTCCACAGACTCTGCAGCTCTTCAGAGTTCTTTTTCTCCCCAGTCTTATCTTGAACATCATCGTTTTGCAATAAGGAAACAAGGGGGTCTTCATCAAAAGATCGCGCAAGAGGAGACAGCGGCAACAATTCATTTACATCACCTCCATCTGCAAAATATCGCTGCATTAGACATGGATTTATTCAATACTATTTGAGAGTTCTAGTACCGTGGCAGAAATATGCATCAACATTCATCATTAGGGTTTTATTTATTATATTACTGCATATGCTCACATTCACCCATCTCCCTTGTCTCTCCTTTTGGGAGAGAGACCTAGATTACTGGGGTTTTGGTTTTTTTGCTTATTCTGCATTAGTGCCATGCACATTGATGACACTCTATAAATAATAACAGTAGTAATAACGTAGTATTTTTAGTCTGTGCTCCAGCACTCGATAACATATATACTACCCTAACTGAAGCCCATGGACCCAAGGACATGTTGCTACAAGCCCAACTATACCCTCATAAGAAAGCAAGATGGAACTTTTATAATGTCACCCTGATACAGCCTAACTCTGGGTTTATTATCTCATCCAATACTGCTTCTTCACACACAAGTCAGCAAATTTGTTTTAAGATTCTTTGCATCCACAGTTTCCCCTGCTAGACAGACAGACGAGCCATTCTAACAGTAAGTGTCACCTATTGCATGTAATTTTGGAAATCAAGTTTTGTTCTCGAGAGTAAAGTGACAAGGCTATATATTCCCTTATGAGCTGCAGACTGGCTTTAGGGAAAGACAAAAGTTTAAGTGCTTGAACCCTTTCTTTCTGGCCTATGGACTCCCTTGCATAAATACAGTGGTACCTCGCAAGACAAATGCCTCGCAAGACGAAAAACGCGCAAGACGAAAGAGTTTTCCGTTTTTTGAGTTGTTCCACAAGACGAATTTCCCTATGGGCTTGCTTCGCAAGACGAAACGTCTTGCGAGTTCTTGCGAGTTTGTTTCCTTTTTCTTAAAGCCGCTAAGCCGTTAATAGCCGCTAAGCCGTTAATAGCCGCTAAGCCGCTAATAGCCGTGCTTCGCAAGACGAAAAAACCGCAAGACGAAGAGACTCGCGGAACGGGTTAATTTCGTCTTGCAAGGCACCACTGTACTTCCTAACTGCTAATTGCCAGGTGTAATTAGTGTTCCTTTTGATTTAGCATCCAGAACTGTTACTAGAGCACTCTCCTAGCAGCAGAGCCTGTCAATATGATAACTGGATATTATCCAGCTTAGGCATTGAAAGCAGGACTGCAGCAAACTTGCAATTAGCAGAAAGTTTTCTCTAGGGCTGAAACTTTGCCAATCTTAACCAAGAGTTGATCTAGCTTTGCCCAGTTGGCCTTCATTACCTGAGACAGATCTGGTGATCTGGCACACACCCAACATCTGCCTTTTCCTTTGCTAGGAATTTGTATTAAACAGGACACAAAGTATCTCTAACATATTCTTTTAAAACCAAGGAAAGGTGGTCCATACCATCTGCATCACATCTGATTCATAGCATCTGAAAGGCGGTATGATACAGCCCAAATGATGAAAGGTGGTTGACAAGCACGGGGTGAAGAAGGAGGAGAGAGACGTTTTTGACCCTCCCTTTTGTCCCTTCCTTTCATCCGGTTTAACTGGCTGGCAGGAGATTCAGAAGAGGCAAAAGGAAGGGATGGATCACTTGCCTCGATGGTCTTGAACGCGGACTGGCAAATCCATGGAGAACAGGGCTACATATAACAATATTAACTCTGATTGCCAGTAGCTGAGAAGCGATGACATAATGCAGGCATGGCCAAACGTGGCCCTCCAGATGTTTTGGGACTACAGCTCCCATCATCCCTAGCTAATAGGACCAGTGGTCAGGGATGTTGGGAACTGTAGTCCCAAAACATCTGGAGGGCCAAGTTTGGCCATGCCTGACTCTGCTTCAGACTCTGCTTGTGGGCTTTCCAGATGCACCTGTGCATAAGGAGGCTATTGGGCTAGATCAGGAGTTCCCTCCAGCTATTTTTGGACTACAACTCCCATCATCCCTAGCTAGCAAGGCCAGTGTTCAGGGTGATGGGAACTGTAGTCCAACAATAGCTGGAAACCCAAGTTTGGGAAACCCAGGACTAGATGAACATTGGATCAGATCCTGCAGGACTCTTCTTATGTTCATTAGCCTGTTGCCACCAGACATCTTCTCTTGCACCACCCCATACGACTTCCTTAGCTGTAACTTGAGGTCAAGGCAGTGCTGGCGACAAAGATACGTTGCATAATATAGTTGTTAACCAAATGTTACCAGGGAGGTCAGAAGGAAACATGATTCGGAAGCAGATAGGAGGAGATGTGGCCATGCGTTTCTGCAGACAACTGAAGTGGTTACTCTTAGAACAACATGTTGAAAGATACAGGGATAGTCAATCATACACTTGACTCAGACTTTGATAGCATACTGCCACAAAAAGGCCAACTACCTGAAAAAAATCCATTTGGAACCTTAAAACGAAACATGCACCTAACAAGCATATCAAGTACAGTGGTGCCTCGCAAGACGAAAAGAATCCGTTCCGCGATTCTCTTCGTCTAGCGGTTTTTTCGTCTTGCGAAGCAACCCTATTAGCGGCCAAGCGGCTTAGCGCTATTAGCGGCTTAGCGGCTATTAAAGGATTAGCGGCTAAGCTGCTAAAAGGGCTATTAGCGCTTAGAAAAAGGGGGGGAAGCGGGGGGGGACGCAAGACCAGCAAGACGTTTCGTCTTGCGAAGCAAGCCCATAGGGAAACATCGTCTTGCGAAGAAACTCAGAAACAGAAAACCCTTTCGTCTAGCGGGTTTTCAGTCTTGCGAGGCATTCGTCTTGCGGGGCACCACTTGTATTCAAACTTGGGTCTTGCAGAACTTGCCCACTTCTTTTAAGAGCAGACTGGAAACTGCCATTCTTAAACAGAGAAATGAAATCGAATTGTCGTGACATAAACTGCCGCCTCAAAATGAAAACTGACCTTGAAGTTGCATTGCTGAGGGCGATTTCTTCATGGGTGATGCCACCCTTAGGAAGATTCTCTGCCGCCAGGAAATCCGGCGGGGGGTAAGAGTAATTCCCCCAGCATTTAGAGAGTCATTGCTGCACACAGATGAGGTCCTTTTTCTTCTTTCCCCATCACTGCAGGATCAGGAGGAAAAGACAACAGCCCAAGTCAGCGTCAAGGAAGACTGACAGAAGCCTAGGCATGGCCATGCAAAGCCAGTGGAACAGCCTTGAACACACAAAGGATTACATCATTTCAATGTAATCGCCATATAGCGAGGCTTCCCAGATCTTTTCATTAAGGACACCGGCCTCATCTGGGCCCAAGTTCTCACCGTATTTTTGTCCTAGACACTGTCCTGTTTCTACAACCAGAAACCTGGAAGTTTATCCACAAATCTCCAACAAGTTTTTTGTAAGTCCCATACAATTTTGGAATCTACGAATATTAAGAGTTGCGGCAAACTATGTTGCGCGTTGCATATTTATTAGAAGGAAAACTGTATTTAACAGAACCCTCATTATCAAAATTGGGAATAGACTCTGTGTGTGTGTTTTTCCCTCATGTCCATAAATCTGTAATCTAAGATAAAAATGCTATTGATCTCAACTTCTAGGTTACCTGAAGATTAACAATTGCCTTAGGCTTACTGGATAGATAAGGCTAAACAACACAAGGAACTTGACGTGAAGGTCCAAACAAGCGTATTAAGTCTCTCTTTTTCAAATTGCACCCACATTCCACGAGGCTTGTATGTGCATGAAAGCAAATGAAGTATCAAAATTTTACTTCTTCTGAAGAATCAGAGTTTGTTCTGTTTGCAGCTGTGATGTCAAAAGTTTTCGTAGATGAGATAATGCGTGGTATCTCTCAGAAGTGGAGAAGCCCCTGCCATAACTTCTTTCTATTTTATTTGCACCCAAATTTGTACCACCACGAAATGGACAAAAAGGGAAACGCACAACAAGAGTGCATGATCAAGAATGGTTTCCTTGTCCAACTCCTTTGAAGAGAAGCTTTAAAAATAATTTTTATAGCATCAATGCACATGGAGGCGCAGGTTGCAGCCACAGCAAAGGTGGCATTTTTCCATCTCCGCCATATTAAGCAGTTGGTCCCTTACCTTTCTCGCCCTGATCTGGCCACAGTGATCCAGGCGACGGTCACCTCCAGGCTTGATTATTGTAACTCACTCTACGCAGGGCTGCCCTTGAAGCTGACCCAGAAACTCCAGCGGGTGCAGAATGCCACAGTGAGGCTCCTTACGGGGTCCTTGCCACGGGATCACATTTATCCAGTGCTTTACCAACTGCACTGGCTTCCGGTGGAGTACAGGGTCAGGTTTAAGGTGCTGGTTTTGACCTTTAAAGCCCTATGCGGTCTAGAACCCACGTACCTACGGGACCGCCTCTCCTGATATGCCCCGTGGAGGACCTTAAGTTCCATAAATAACAACACTTTGGAGGTCCCAAGCCTCAAGGAGGTTAGATTGGTTTCAACTATGGCCAGGGCCTTTTCAGCACTGGCCCTGATGTGGTGGAACGCTCTGTCACAAGAGACTAGGGCCCTGCGGGACTTGACATCTTTCCGCAGGGCCTGCAAGACAGAGCTGTTCCGCCTGGCCTTTGGTTTGGACTCGGTCTGACCCTTATGTTTCCCTCCCGTTATGGTCTTGATTTATCAGCTACTTTAAAATGAGGCTGCACTTTAAATTGCATTTTGACCTCTATTTTAAATTGGTTTTCCCCCCTATTATGTTTTTACTGTAATTTTACTGGTGTTAGCTGCCCTGAGCCCAGCTCTGGCCAGGGAGGGCGGAGTAGTATTATTATTATTATTATTATTATTATTATTATTATTATTATTATTATTTTGCCTTTCAGGACATATGCCAAGGATATGCCAGTATCCCAAAGTGCTTATAATCTAAAACAAAGAAAAGATCCTATTTATTCAAGCAACCTTTGAACAATCATGTTGCCTATTGTCTGGTGGAAATTAAGCCCCACACCCTTCTAGACGTTTGGTTATTATCCTTTGGCTATTCAAAATAACAAATTTAAGGTAGATTTGTTACCCACTGAAAAAAATATATTCACGTCCAGCACTCTATTGCATCAATATGTGCTATACATATTACTGCTTATGGCTCACAGTTCAGAACTTCTGCTTTGAACAGCCAGATTCTATCTTCAGGTAAAAGGAAGTCAAGATAACTAGGCTGGGCACATTAAAAACAATAATAAATTTCCTAAGTGCTTCCAGTTTGTTTCTGAGCCTAATTTAGACTGCTCACTGCCTTTTCTAAAGCCTTATATGCAGTGTGGGGTTTTTTCAGGGGGTACTCAAAGGCACGTACTACTGGCACCTCTTTTTGCTGTTGTTAAAAAGTGTAGCACTTAATGTAATAACTTCATGGTGAGTATTGGCACCTACCGTTCTAGCACTGCCTATATGGGCTTTGGTCCAGGATATCTGAAGGATCATCTTCTCCCCAACAAACCTGCCTGCTCATTAAGGTCTTCCTTCTGCATGCTGCCAACATCCAAGTTCCAATTGGTTGGAACATGAGACAGGGCTTTCTCTGGGGCCAAGTCCTGGCTTTGGAACTCACTGCAGGAGGCGGCTTTCCTCGAAGACCTTCAAATTATTGCACCAAAGACCTTCTGTTTCCTACTGGAATTTGACCTGCCAAGCTGTTCATCTCCCTGGCATTTCATCTGTGGAGTTTTCAACGTATTTTAACTGCTGATATGAATGGCTTTTATTTTGTTGAATTTTGCTGTCATTCTGCTTAGCCACACTGAGGATTTTTTTTAATGAAAAGGAATCACCAACACTTGAATATTGGACTCAAAGAGAGAAACAACTAACAGACTTTTAGAAGACATCTGAAACAGGGAAGCTTTTAATGTTTAATAGACTATTGTATTTTAATATTCTGTTGGAAGCCGCCCAGAGTGGCTGGGGAAACCCAGCCAGATGGGTGGGGTATAAATAATGAAATTATTATTATTATTATTATTATTATTATTATTATTATTATTATTATTAGGACATACAGACCTAGCAACTGAAGCAAAAAAAAAAAAAGGGGTGGGTGGGGGGGTAAATAGATACATTATAAGTCCAGTGAATGGGTTAGAAAGCATTTTTTCTTCATCATGAAGTTGACCAGAACAGCCGCCAATTGTTAAATTCTTAATTCCTGGGCCTTTGTGTGTGCTTTAAAGAATCATGACTGAAATATTCTAGAACCTGAAATTCGCAGACAAGAAAGAGCTTCAGGAGATGATTTTGTACAGCATACAAAGCAGTGAAACACCATGACAAAGAATGAAGCAAGTCCCATCATATTAAATGAAAGAAAGAAAGATATCTAGAGACCTTTGTTCTCTTATCTAAGCACTAGCCAAGAACCAAAGAGTATTTTCTGACAGCACCTCAAAAAGGATATTTAATGGGTCTCATTTCTAAGCTAAACAGAATATGCAAGTATTTTTTAACCTCCACTAATGTAACATTACATTAATATTCTACTTAATATTTAAAGCTAACAGTACAAGATCAGTACATAAAAGCAATGCAGATATAATTAAAAGAGTTTGGCTACTTTGATAGAGTTAAAAATCAGACTGATGTATTCCAGACTAATGAAGAGTGAATATAGTCAAACACAGAATTACAAAGACTGAACTACAAAAGAGGAAGAAACCATAAGAAGGAGACAAATATGGGCTTTCAGAGAAAACCCTCTAAACTCTCTCAAAATGCACTGCCTTATTGTGATGAATCAAAAGTATGCAGAATGCTCTTATTTGACAATCTGAGATATTTTACATACATAGCAAGTGGACGTGAGATAGCTTTTATATAAATAATGCACCAAGAAAGAACTATTTTGACCTCTTTTGTGGCCCCCACACTCATCACTAAAATGTTAATTTCTAAACAGGATAGCCATAGATGCTCCCTACTTTAGTTGTGCAAAAACTGAGCTCAGATCAATGAATGCTGTGCAATATGTCTTCCCGTGGACCTTTAATTTTTCTGATCCCAAGTAACCTAGTTTTCCGAGCAGGTAGCAAATGCAAGTCTTCGCTAGGTTTTTTTAAAAAATGGTTTCAGCAAGAAATGGCAAAATCCCCTAGAGCTTAGCAAGAGCAGTTTCTGGGGGGTAAGTAGTACTACCAACTTTTGCTTGTAAAGTGTAACAGCAGCTTTAGAGTGAAACAAATGCAAGTAAGACTGCCCTCTGAAAGTGAAATATGTTTACTGTTTCCCTACATTTTGATTAAAAAACATCCTACATTGAAGCTCCGATCTAGTCCTTTTACTTTAGCGATTGCTCTCACAAACAAATAAAAGGACTTCCATTAACCCATACTAAACCCATCTAGGTTTTATTGCACCTTCTTAGAGACAAAGCAGGATAAAAGTAACCAAATCAAGACTGCAAAGAAAACCAAAGTTCAGTAACTCACTTTGCATTTTTACTCTTAAGCTGCTGATAAGTTGTGAAACATCAGAAAGAAATTAGCAAACACTTAAAACTACCTGGTTGGCCATGAACCCAGTCTCCATTTAGCCAGCTGTGAGATCCTGTGAAGTTTGCCTCTACTTTTGCAAACTTTTACAGGAAAAAAAGGTCCTTTTAGAAGGATCTGGTTCCAAAACCACACTGTAATTACAAAAGCCCTTTTCTATTCCTTCTTCCAGTTTCATCAGCATAAGCATTGAGCTTCTCCAAATAAATGCAGGGGATTTCCTAAGTGACAAGAGCAACAGGCTCTAGATTTCTTGGTAGCACAGTTCCACAACCATCTTTCAAAAATAATTTCCCTTATTTTGTTCACAGATGGAGCATTTCTGAATTTTAACCCGCAAGCCGTAACTCACCCAAAAGTAAATCTTTAGGGCTGCAGCATATGAAAAATCTGCATTGTCTCTCAGCTTTGCTTTCAGTTCAACTTCTCTTTTCCTTTGAAGGAAAGCAGAAAACTAAAAGGGAAATTCACGCCTTCGCCAGTGTCCCTACTCACTGATGTTAGCTGAAAATGAAAACACACCCACCCGGGTGAATAGAAAAGAGCGGCTCAGATGCTTACACCTTTAACTAATGTGTCCTAAGGCTGAAAGATTCCTATCAATCCTCTGATGGGTTGACTATGATGTTGCTTATCTCTCTGTGTATTACTCTGAATTACACAAGACCACACATCCAATTTTCCTGGTTGCCCTAGAAGTGCAAGAAGAAAAACCTAAGCCCTAGATGATAGATAGATAGATGACAGATAGATAGATAGACAGACAGACAGACAGACAGACAGATGATAGATTTGCTACTGATGAAATGCCTGAAATATTAAGAAATTCAACAGCTTTACAATTACATATACAACTTCTATATAAGATGGCCAGTCAATGAATTGGAGTGCTCATGACTGAAGTCCGTCACTAACAGTGATAACCTGTTATGCATGGTAGGAGCGATAAGAGGCCATAGAATAACAGAAATGTGGAGCTGGAAGGGGCCACAAGAGTTATCTAGTCCAACCCCCTGCAATGCAGGAATCTTTTGCTCAACGTGGCACTCGAACCCATGACCCTAGAGTAAGAGTCTTGTGAGGCCAAGATGTTCCTCCCCACAGAAATATTTAATAAAAGGGGCCAAGATCAGGATGAGAACGGTAAAGGGTTTCCTCCGCCAGGTATGCGGATTTTAGCTGATAGTTATAAGATAACACAGATAAAAAGAGAACCCCTTAAAAGCAGGGCTATAGCCAGATTAAAGAAGCCTTAGTCCACTAATTTAGGAGATACAGTTGATCAATTAAATCTGCATATAGTTGCCTACAGTAAATTTTAAAGAAAGACACATGCACGATATGTGTTATCTTATAAGAGGCATTCCTCACACAGAAAAGAATGCTTTTCTTTTGCCTGTGGCATTTAAGCACTTCCATTAGAAAGGTAGTTTTAATAGTTCTGCTGCCTTCTTCAGCCACCGACAGTGCTTTAACCGCTTAAAATCAGAAACAGCACTGTTGCTCCTATTAAAATCTGTATCAACCAGAATGCTAACACCCACTTATTGTTTTCAAAGCTCACTGCAGTTTTTAAACTTGCAAAATAAAGAGATACGAGCAACAGTTTGTTATTGAAGTCGCCACAGCTGAAAAATCTTGAGATGGGAGTTTGAAAGCAAATGACCTTGGCGTGAAAGAGATGCTGGCTAGATGTACTCCAGATTTAATCACATTTTAAATTATAATATGGTTAAATAATAATTTTTGGTTGCCTCAGACAAACATTGTCACTCTAATAAGATGGTCTGCAGGGTGACATTTGGGTTTAGCAGGAAAGAAAGACACATCCCCGTGATATTTCTCAACTACGGTTATCGCTGTTCTTCGCTGAAAATCCTGCTAAGCCAATTAATTCCGTGTGAATCAGTGTGCACCACCAGCCTCCTCGACTCTTTGGGTCCAGGTCCAAAGTTTCTTGCATACTCACAAGCCAGTTTGGCAAAGAACGGTACCCGAGACAGAAGGCCACAGGCTGGGGCCAGTAGACACTCTGCTGGGCCTGTAGACCTCCAGTTAAATAGAACATTGCTTTGGTTCAGTGAAAATAAAATCCAAACAGAGACATTACAAATAGGCTGAAGCACAATATCCTCCACATCAGGGTCCGCATGCTGCCTACACTTTCGCGAGCAGCAAAAGTGGTGAAATCACAATTCTGAAGCCATTCAAGTGCATCACCAAAGAGATGTACCACTGTTACTTTTGGATGCTTTCCTCATGCGCTGGGGCTTCACAAAACCTTCATCGCCATGCTCAGAAAGTGGAGGGAAATTCACACTTGCCGTATAGTATGTGTCATTGTGTACTGGAATCTAAACATAGCTGCAGCAGTTGAATCGTACCAGTGACTGGGTGCCTTCAAAATGCAAATATCCAGGTTGGCTAAAGGAAGGTCAGTTCACACAGCCCTATAACAAGCCTCCCTGATAGCAGGCACTAGCAGCCCAGTGCAAATTATATTCCTCATTTAAAGCATTAAAAACAACAAAAGCATGCCAATGTTAGTCACACACGGGCAGCCCTCACATTGCCCCTGCCATACAGCACACGATTAAGCAGCTAATTAGTATAATACCAACTAATATCATCAACATTGCCATTTTTCTCTCTCCTTTTTTTAAAGTGCCTGGGTTATTTTCTTTGCATTGTTATCTCAGCAATAAAGGTCGTTTATTTTTAAAAATCTGAGACACTTCAAAGTGTGTAGTGTAAATTGCCCAGCTCGTTATCATCTCCTCAAACGAACTTTACAACCATTCTGTGTGGTAGAACAAGATTGTTCCCATTTCTATGGGTGGGGTGCTGAGGATGACAGAAAATCTGTATTATTCGAGGAATAATAGTGCTTCCACATCCAAGTCTTGTACTAGACTACACTAGGGAGACAGGCAGAGATTGTCTAGAGGAATAATTTAAAGTCATATACAGATTTATGCAGGGTTTTAAAAAAATTATTCCATTTGGGGGAAAACATCAGTATATTTAGAAACCTCATGATTTTTCACTTACTGGGTTTGGCAATGTTGATCTTTTTCCCCCTTTTTTTCACATTATTTTGGCATTAGTCAGAAAACAGTGTAGTAGTTATGCAAGATCTCTGTGCTGTAACCTTCAGCAGGCATTTCCAAAGATCGCTCTGTTCACAGGTTTTCACGAAACAAGTGAAGTATCTCACTTAGAAGCGAGTAGCAAAAATTCCTTATCGCAAGCCGGCTGCATAGGAAGTGCAAACTTGCAGGCCAGGCAGAAACCAGTGTTCTCACCTCTGGGGGAGCTCATTTTCAGACTGAGGAGACGGTTTTCCTGAGCTCTGGTAAAAGCTTTTCAGGAAAGATGGGGCAGAGAAGGAAGAAGGGAGACTCGACGGCGCAGATGATTCACTCTCACTGCGAGCGCGTCGGGCAATTGTCAGTCTGACAGCAGGCGATAAGAAAAAGCGTAGCAAATGAGTTTCAGTACAACATTTTAAAGCGTTCCCACACTCCATACTCACCATGTAAGAGGTTCAGTCAAGACCTGAATTGTAATTGCCATTATTACACTAACAGTGTGAAAATTTGGTGCACTTTAAGTTTAATGCACCATGAAATTTTGCTGAAGTTGAGTTGGGGGGCATTTAAAGAAACCGAAAAGCTGAGTCATGTACTTGGCTTCACATTCCCTCAACCTGCACATCTAGTCAAGGTAAACTACCCCCTCCTCCCCCTTTCAGGGATATACAGTGGTACCTCGGGTTACAGACACTTCAGGTTACAGACGCTTCAGGTTACAGACTCCGCTAACCCAAAAATAGTACCTCGGGTTAAGAACTTTGCTTCAGGATGAGAACAGAAATCGTGCTCCGGTGGTGCGGCAGCAGCAGGAGGCCCCATTAGCTGAAGTGGTGCTTCAGGTTAAGAACAGTTTCAGGTTAAGAACGGACCTCTGGAACAAATTAAGTACTGTACCCGAGGTACCACTGTAGGGATGCGGGTGGCGCTGTGGGTTAAACCACAGAGCCCAGGACTTGCCAATCAGAAGTTCGGCGGTTCGAATCCCAGCGACGGGGTGAGCTCCCGTTGCTCGGTCCCTGCTCCCGCCAACCTAGCAGTTCGAAAGCACGTCAAAGTGCAAGTAGATAAATAGGTACCGCTCCGGCGGGAAGGTAAATGGTGTTTCCGTGCGCTGCTCTGGTTTGCCAGAAGCGGCTTTGTCATGCTGGCCACATGACCCGGAAGCTGTACGCCGGCTCCCTCGGCCAAAAAGCGAGACGAGCGCCGCAACCCCAGAGTCGGTCACGAGTGGACCTAATGGTCAGGGGTCCCTTTCCCTTTACCTTACCACTGTACTAGACCCTAAGGTTCAGCTTTCATTAAAACTTAAGAAGCTGCAAGTCTTGTGACATACTGGGAACTAAGAAAAACCACGCGAGCAGTAATTCCAACAGGAAGGTTAGACAGCACTGAAGACACAATCCTGATAAAAACACCCCACCACACCTTAACTCATCCTTCTCCTCCTATAACGTCGCCTAGAATTTACCTATTGCCTGACATTCGGACAAGAAGGAAGTTCTGCTACATGTTACAAGGGGGCATATGGGAGATGCTGGATACACGTCTGCCATTTGTGGTGGCAACTGCTTATTCAGTACTTCAGCCTACAGCATCTCAACTATTAACACAAATCAGGAAAGGGAAAGTTGCTCAGTTTTAAGTCGCCTGCCTTGCATGCAAAAGGTCGCAGGTCTAACGATCTGCATCTCTAGGCTAAGGCAGCATAAAGGGGCTCCTTATGTCCCTAGGACAAGTGCACATTTTTTATTTGCTCTTATTCAAACTTACCTTATTGGCCCAAATATAAGCCACACTCCCCCCCCCCATCCCAACTGTGAAAAGTTAAAGTGCGGCTTAAATTCACACCCTTGCAAAAATCGGCTTTTACGATATTGCTGCTGAAACAGACATATGGGAAAACGGAACACACAAAATGTTTTATTGCTGATTTGCGAGTTTGAGACTGTTGTGCAATTAATTCTAATGTCATTTGTCGCTTTCTCCATATTTTACAGTGCAGTATTGATTTATTATTTGCATTTACGGTGCCACAGATTTTCTTCTACATTTGTCATTTACAGGTGTGAGTGTCTGCAGAATTTTAAGGGAGCAGCTTATATTCAGGTATTGTCTTTTATTTCTCCTCCCCCCCCCCCGAATTTTAAAGGTGTGGCTTATATTCGGGTGTAGCTTATATTCGGGCCAATACGGTAATAGATTCACAGTTACTAGATCAGGCTTCTATCAACTCATATTGACTTACGATTTCCCCTTCTGCAATGTACCTGCAAAGTGCTACGCTGCCACCTTGTTTCCAGGTACAGGCTTGCTTTCAACAAGAAAAACAACATTTCACCAGAATATTATTTGGAGTGGGCAGAAAGATGCTACCGGGGGGGGGGGGTAGAGAGATACAAAGCATGCAGTTATTTTACAGTGATAGATTCCAAAATGATGGAGTCGATCAAAATGAACGTGTTTTAGAGTTGGTGGAAAAACTTAGGTATCATCAGAATTATTTCAGGCTCTTAGAAGGTGAATCATTACAAGCCTCCGCCATCAAATATTTCTGGGGCGACCGTTTTTGAGTCTACACACGTGCACAAAAGCAACTTATGATCAAAGTGTTGAAGAGTTGCTGTTTTGACTAGCAAACTTGCTGAGCAAGCAAAGACAACAGCTCTGCAGCAATGGGCAAAGAAATGTTGTCAGCACGTCTAACACAATTATTGTTCAAGTTTCCTGTTTCACCGAAGCATCGTAATGATTAGTGTCTGAGGGTGGGGGGTGGGGGGAGCAACCTGACATGAAATTTATCAGCAAAAGACAAGGTCACTTTGCTGACAAGCTACAAACTGCCAGAAGAGGGTGTTGAGAGGTGTCAACTAACCATGGGCACAGAAGGGAGGATTAGCAACAGATACTCCTGCTGGCAAGAAGACTTACTACTAGGGACAATTCACTGGAAAGTTTGGAAAGTGGCTACTACACAGAGCTGCAGCAACCTCCTTAATGGGCCAAGATTGATACCAGTCTTTTAGGGATGAAACAACTTGACTGGCTTCAATCACACTGCAATCCATTGTGGATCCAGTCACAAACACTGGATGAAGGGAAGCTCAACCTGGCGATGGTGTTAATTAGCACTAACTGGGAAAAATGGATTACCTATCTCTATAAGAAAGGATCTCAACTGCAAGGGCTGCTGTTACAACTGGTCTGGCTGTGGGGCTGACTGTACAATTAGAAATAAATGAATAAATGGCCGTCTCAGTCATTTCAAGAGAGAAATACAGTAAAATAAGGCTTGGTACATTAAACACTTGGACAATGCTTGCTTTCTCTACCCTAGATGTTGGGGGGGGGGATCTCAGCTAGAGGTGTCCTGAAGCCAGCTCCTTCTTTGCATGAATCTTCTCATCTCAATTAATTTAAAAAGTGACTTGATTTTAAGGCTACACGGTTCAGAGGGGTTTATTTGGAATCCAAGCCTTCATCCTGCCCTCCTAAGAGTTAAAATGGCACCACCATGTATCTCCTCAGCAGGCCTGACAGAGTGGGTGTCAGAACATAGTGTATTGCAATTCCTTCAAATTGCATAGCCACTGTCTGCAATGCAGGCTCATGAAGACCACAATTCACCTCTGCACATTGTTCTATGAAGGTAAGGTGTTTTGCAGTTTCAAGGGGAAGTTTTGCTTAGGATTACGAACAAAACCACCTAAATTAACTGAACTTATTGTGTTTCTAGTTTTGAAGGCATTTAAGGACACTTAAAGTGCAATCCTTTACATGTTCAATGAGACTTATTTCCAAGTAGGGGTGCACATCTTAAACACTGCAGCTGTTGCATAGGAATTATTCAATATCTGGATGGCGACACTGCCTGCTAGTCAAAGTGTACTGAAGCTTTGGCTGTTGTCTTACATGCCTTGGCCACATCCATGTTCAACGGCAGCAATGCACTGTGTGTTGACTGCTCAAAAGCTGCAGCCACTGAAGAAGGCAGTGGCCAGAGAGAATGAAAGGGGGCGCCTTTTTTGCGAACGTGTCACTCAGAAATTATTTGATACTTCCAGCTTGTTTTGAAGCCTGATCCAAAAGTGCTGGTAATAAATTATAACTCCCTAAACAGGTTGGGAAAGAAGTTAAAGAACCACCTGCTCCCATATTATCCTCCCTTTGTCCCACCATTTTTAGAAGTGCAGTTGTTGGGAATTCCTCTTCTTCCAGTATCAAAAGGCTACACTTAGTCTATGTCCTTCTGAGATTAGGTGAGCTATGTCTCTGCTCCCCTCTCCTGGCTGAGAGGTGCCAAAACAGTTCTGTTGCTGATTTTGCTTTTGCATTGCTTAAAATCCTCATTGTTCAATGTTTGCATCTTCTTACATAATAATATTTTTTCCCAAGATAATTAAAAGTATATTTTTTCTACGCTGCTTTGAGAGTTATTTTGGGACAGAAAAGCACCCTCAAAATGTTAGTCTGAAATAAAACCATTGTATTGTAAATCCCTGAATGGTGGAAAGAGAAAGGGATCTGTACTGCAGCAGAGCACAAGACTTGAACCACTCTAGAAAAAAACAAGGCAAACCTTCTTTTAAACAAAACTGTTACTTTACTTTATACAAAGCACGAAAGGCCTTAAAGATTTACATAAATAAAGTCCAGGAATCAGTGGGTCCAATCGCTTTTGTGCATCTTCCGTTCATTTCAAGAGGTTTGCGCAGAAGAGTGAGCCACGTCCGAAGAGCAGCTCTTTATATACCCATATTTGTATTGGCTGGCTATAGCTGCTTTCTGATTCATAAAATGTCAATACAAGCATCCAACTGCTTCAGATATTTTACAGCCGTCGAATGGAAGTGTTTTTATTAACAACAAGAACAACTCAATCTCTATTTGTAGAATGCAAAGCCCTACACAGGAAGAAGTCTCACTAAACTCACTGGAACTTACTGTTGAGTAAAATATACTGAAGATATATGCTGTAAACTGTTACTCTCCGGTTGCCTGAGATAGAATGAAAAACCCAGGCAACTATTCCAAGATTCTTATCCTTGTTCCATCAAAAAAAATAATGGGGAAATAAAAGATATCCAGACAAGCCTACAAGATTCCTATGCAACAGCTTGGCTCAAAACTCACCTGCCATGCTCCACAGAGTTCTGTCTCAGGAGAGGAGACTTGACACTTTGAGACCTTCCGTCTTGGAAAGTAATCCTCTTTTTGGCGCTGGACGGTGGGTGGCTAAAGGTATGAGCTCGTCTCCTGAACTGGGGAGAATCGGAATCCTCTTCGGGGAAGGGCTGCCAAGCCGAGGATACGGGAGAAGCAGGGGGCGTCGTGGAAGGAGATTCCCCAGAAGAGCATTCCTGGAAGAAGTCAGCCACAGTATAAGATCGCCCCTTTTACACCCTATAACTACGCAGTGAATGTCAGAGTAATCCCTGCAAGTTAACAAGAGAGGAGATGAAACTGAGCCTCCTCCTCCTGGGCGGAAAAAAAACGAAAGCAAACCCATTGTATGCTAATTAGAAACTATGCCAAACATCCTTTGCCCCTGGAATTGCCATGACCTCTCGCGAACAATACAGCAAAAAGAATCCAAATACTTTACTGGCACTGCTACTACATTTTCAAGCCCGGGTTCCAATCACAACTGGCTTCTTTTCTCGGCCTATCGTGTACAGATTTCCTGTCCTGTCAGAGCTCTTTCCTGGAAGAGGGATCTGCTAATAAAAAGCTGCATTAAGAGCAACAGGAAAATTAGAAGTCAAAAGAACCGCTCTGTTTCCACATCTCTCGGAGGAGAAATAATAATAATAATGTGTGTGTGTGTGTGTGTGTGGAATTGCTATGTAAAAGAGGAAATAAATGGAAAGTGTACGACGAGCTGTTTACACATGCTGCACAGGCAGGCTAACGGCAAAGGATGACAGATTTAAAATGTCATTGTTTAAGAGACATGTATCAACTGGGATAAACAAGGGCTTTCTGGGTTTTTTCTGCTTTACATGCTTACTTCCCCTAAGTAGTTTTCATTCCAATTGGCAATGAGTTATTCTGTTTACACTCATAAAAGCAAGTAGGATTTTAGAATCGATGGAAAGGATCTTAAAGGTAAAGGTAAAGGTACCCCTGCCCGTACGGGCCAGTCTTGACAGACTCTGGGGTTGTGCGCCCATCTCACTCAAGAGGCCGGGGGCCAGCGCTGTCCGGAGACACTTCCGGGTCACGTGGCCAGCGTGACAAGCTGCATCTGGCGAGCCAGCGCAGCACACGGAACGCCGTTTACCTTCCCGCTAGTAAGCGGTCCCTATTTATCTACTTGCACCCGGGGGTGCTTTCGAACTGCTAGGTTGGCAGGCGCTGGGACCGAGCAATGGGAGCGCACCCTGCTGCGGGGATTCGAACCGCCGACCTTTCGATCGGCAAGCCCTAGGCGCTGAGGCTTTTACCCACAGCGCCACCCGCGTCCCGGAAAGGATCTTGAGAGTCATCTAATCTAACGCCCAGCAACGTAGGAATATGCAGCCGGCCCATATGGGGCTTGAACCCACAACCGTGGCGTTATCAGCACCATGCTCTAACCAACTCAGCTAACTAAAGATCCTCTTACACTAGTGGTGTGGAACCTGAGGCCCAGGGGCCAAATGGAGCCCTCTCTCCAGGACACCCCCTCCACTGGCCTTGCATTTCAAGCCCAGATATTTTTGCCCCATGGAAGGTGGGCCAGTTCCCCACCTCTGCGCCCTAGAGAATGACCTGATTCAGACTTCTGTTTTACTTGTATTTACTAAACAAAGCTTAAAAACTCAGCCTTTCCTAATATGTATTTGCAGTTGGCACCCATTGTTTTTGACTAATGAATTTTTGAAACGGAATGTTTTTCCATCGAGAAATAAAATATCTGCCCTGCATCACTGCTCCTTGTTTCCCCCCCAAGCCATCGAGTTACCACAAATGTCTAACTCTTCCAATTTAGACCTTCTTCCCTGCTGGGCTGCCAGGCAGTGACTCTAACCAGCCATAAGCTTACAAGGTAAGGGGCAGTTTTCAAGCGCTATTAGGCTACTTATCGTTTTGTTTTGCCTGTAAAAGTAAATAGTCAGCAAACCATAATCAGCTATTTTATCAGAAAGTGAACTTCTCACAAGTTTTGTTTTTAAAGGAAAACCCAAATAAACTCCTATATCCAGCATAATTTTGCACTTTATTCCCCACCCCCCACGCACGCAAAGCCCATTACTTACTTTGTCAGAAGTGAGGTTGTTGCACCTTTCAAAGCTGTCCATGCTCCCCAACCGGCCGCGCATTCGGTTAGCTCCCTACGGAATAACAACAAAGCATCCCACCTGTTAAGATCCCATTCCCCACTCTCTGCGATTCACAAACAGCAGCTTACTTTCGGCTACAAGGGAGCAAAGCCAGGAAAACAATTCACAAAAGGATTTCGCCTGGAGCGTTAACGGCTCAGCCTGCAGAGGCCAGAAGCAGCCTGTGGACCCCTCTGAATTTGGGAACTTTCCCATTTTGTAGTTCCTTTGGAGAAGCTGGCAAGGATAGGACAGAGTGCTTGAATGTGCTGTGGTGCTTGAATGTGCTGCTTCTAGCACTATCTGTACCAATATAGCTGTCAAGTGCTGAAAGGCAAGCCATTTAATTCCATGCTGAAGAAATCTCCTTGATAAAGAAATCCAACTTGGAACGTGCTGTGAACCAACCCCAAATTGGCACACTTACTTGAAAACTGAAATCCTGTGCAACTTACATGCGCTCTAGCACATTCATGTGTCAAAAAAGGATACAGTCTCGAATCCTCTGATCCCATAAGCAGAAATCTGTTCATGGGATTCTCCCGCTGGAGAACAGATAGGAAGGCAATTTTCATTGACTCCCCCTTTCCTGTCACTAAACCCCTGAAATTCTATGTCACAGGGTTAGGGAGCCATCCAGACAGTGTCCGAAATTAGCTAGGCACCAGGCACACCTGGGGATCATTGGATATGGACTGTTTTCACACACAAATACCCCATCTATAGAATTCTATCAGTTATATTTTATCTATACAATCGGAATGAATCTCAGGAACCAAAATGTTAAGAAAAAGAGGTTGGAGAATATATATATCGACTGTCCCTGGATCAAGTGACTTTTCTTCTTTAAGTTCTCAGAACTCAAGGTTGTAATCTGCACTTCCCAGATCTTTAAATGAGAATTAATCACAATCAAGCCCATCATTTGAAAGCTAAGACTTCAGAGCTGCTTTGCCCCCGAATGGCAAGCAGACATTCCATTTTGGCAACTGCAAGCCTGGCTTAAGGAGCAGGTGTGGAGGACTCCCTGGTCCTGAATGGGGTAACTGTGCCCCTGAAGGACCAGGTGTGCAGCCTGGGAGTCATTCTGGACTCACAGCTGTCCATGGAGGCACAGGTCAATTCTGTGTCCAGGGCAGATGTTTACCAGCTCCATCTGGTATGCAAGCTGAGACCCTACCTGCCTGCGGACGGTCTTGCCAGAGTGGTGCATGCTCTAGTTATCGCTCACTTGGACTACTGCAATGTGCTTTATGTGGGGCTACCTTTGAAGGTGACCTGGAAACTACAGCTAATCCAGAATGCGGCAGCTAGACTGGTGACTGGGAGCGGCCGCCGGGACCACATAACACCAATCTTGAAAGGTTTACATTGGCTCCCAGTATGTTTCTAAGCACAATTCAAAGTGTTGGTGCTGACCTTTAAAGCCCTAAACGGCCTCGGTCCAGTATACCTGAAGGAGCGTCTCCACCCCCATCATTCTGCCCGGACACTGAGGTCCAGCTCCGAGGGCCTTCTGGCGGTTCCCTCGCTGCGAGAAGCCAAGTTACAGAGAACTAGGCAGAGGGCCTTCTCGATAGTGGCACCCGCCCCGTGGAACACCCTCCCACCAGATGTCAAAGACAAAAACAACTACCAGACTTTTAGAAGACATCTGAAGGCAGCCCTGTTTAGGAAAGCTTTTAATGTTTAACAGACCATTGTATTTTAATATTTGTTGGAAGCCACCCAGAGTGGCTGGGGAAACCTAGCCAGATGGGCAGGGTATAAATAAATAACTATTATTATTATTATTATTATTATTATTATTAGGTGCCTAGTTAATAGATCTGAGTTTCTAACACTACACCCAGAACAGCATAGATGGTGCAGGAAGAGTAATTAATGAAACTGCCTTCTCTCTTTTTGCCGGTGGGATCCTGTTGCCTCAAAAGCCCTTCTGTGAATGGGAGTGAAGCACAGGATCCAAGCCATGGGGCTTAGTACAGAGGGCTGCTTCAACTTCAGTAGGCAATCAGAAACATCTGGGTAGGAATCGTAGGAACGTCTGGGACACATACAAATCCCACCCTCCAGAGCCATGTGTGCGAACTTGGATGCCATTGTGCTTTCATCCCCAAATTGAGTTTGATGGTTAGACGTATCAGAAGTGACCCTTAACGACGACACCTCCATTAGTCATTAACCTTGCAAGGTAACTGAGCTTTGGTGCTATACCTACTAAGGCCTGTTGAACAGAACTCTTGTTAAGTGAAGCAAATATTTATCTGGCAGCAAAACAGCAGGAGATATAAATGAAATTCTTAAGAGGCTCAGGATTTTGTTTCAGGAAAGCATCAAGATTTCCTTTCAATGTTCAAAAAAATGTGCTGACTGTTCATAAGCTACCCTCAACAGAGTATGGCATGCTTTGAAGACAAGAGAAATATGCTATACTTACGAAACCTGGAGTTTAATAGGTTGTATTTATTCAGTCAACTGGAAACAATTTTTGCCAGACAACCCCTTCCCTCTCATATCTCAGCACTTGAGATATGAGCTTGCAACTGTGGAAGCCTCAACTTTTGTTTATTTTTGAAACTAAATACATTTCGGGTGTCTCGTTGCAGGGTAGCTTTGTCTGTCGTTCATCTTCTACCACTTTTGATCTCCACAAAATGGCACTTCTGCCATAAAATGGCACTTCTGCAAACCTAGTTGCTGCCCAGGGCCATATATTGCTTATTAAACAACAAATCTAGCATCCTGGGCAGACAAAGTTTCCAATATTATATTGGGGAAGATACCAGTTTAGGAGTAAAATTCTAAAATTCAGGGTCAACCTTGCCTTTCGGTTTGGATTCCATGTTATATTTACTGAACTGCAACATATATGCTTGCCATCAATCAACCAAAAGTTCTAGTTTGAGTGAGACTGTCCTTCGCCAATCAAAATGCGCCCCCAATTTTTGCTCTTGAGGTTTCCTCATGTTTGTTGCTTTTGATGCCATGCTATCTTCTCCCAAGGTGCCTAATTAAGTGAGCAAGAGAGGGAATCTGGATGCAAGCCTCTAAGACTATGTGACCCATCAGCAACCACGTTCGGAAGCAACGGAATTCCAGAAGGCACTGTGCCGAGTTAATTTTAACTTTCAAATCCGACCGACATACAAAGTGATTTACCGTCCAAGCTACTCATGTTAAAATATGCAGCTTCAAGCCATGCCTTATACAACTTATGCCACTAAACCTCCTAAAAATTCTTAATACCTATTTGATAATAATATCAAAACATGCAGATGTTAAATGACACACTCGATACGTGCTCTATGAGGGACTTCCTTGTGCTTGATCCAGAAGATGCAGTTAAAGCAGAGCGCTGCCTCTGTATAATTCAATTAATTAGAGCATGGTGATGACTGCGGACAGGAGTGAGCCCTTGTTTGCATAGAATAAAGGTAAAGGTAAAGGTGTTAGGTCCAGTCGCGGACGACTCTGGGGTTGTGTGCTCATCTCGCTCTATAGGCCAAGGGAGCTGGCGTTTGCCTACAGACAGTTTTTCCGGGTCATGTGGCCAGCATAACTAAGCCGCTTCTGGCAAACCAGAGCAGCGCACGGAAACACCATTTACCTTCCTGCCGGAGTGGTACCTATTTATCTACTTGTACTTGATGTGCTTTTGAAATGCTAGGTGGGCAGGAGCTGGGACCGAACAGCGGGCACTCACCCCTTCGCGGGGATTCGAACTGATGACTTTCCCTAGGCTCTGTGGTTTAGACCACAGCGCCACCCGCATCCCTTGGCATAGAATACCCATGTTCAATTGGCTACCAGGCCAAGTTCAAGGCCCAGTTAGTATTTAAAGTTATTATTTTAAGCCATTAACAACTTTGGACCAGTGTACCTGTGAGATTGCCTTACCCCTTATGTGCCCTACTCGATCGCTTCGACTGGCAGAATTAGCACTGCCACAAGTGCCCCATAACACCCATTCCACATTTGTTAGAACCCAATCCTTTAGTGTGGCAGCACCTACACTTTTGAACTCCCTGCCTATTGATATCAAGCAGGCAGCTTCACTGAACTCTTTTCTGAATCCACTAAAAACATTCTTTTTTAGTCAAGTCAAATCTCTAGTGACTTCTGGTTAAGATGGCGTCAGCTCAGAAAGTTGGCTCCGGAGCTCTGCAGTTCCCATGATTTTAAACCAAGTTTTAATTGGTATTAACTTGTGTGAAGCTAATTATTTTATCAACCTTTTTATAACTTGGAAGTTTAGTCAAGTCTACCCAGATGCTTAGAAAAGCTGGTGTGAATTTTAATCTGTTTTAGCATTTAAACTTCTTGCAAGTTTTAATGTATTGTAAAAAAAAATCTGGTTTATTGGTTTTATCTTTTTGTAAATCACTTTTTTAAAAAACAAACAGACTACGAAGTAATGTATAAATTTTGTCATATAAATAAATAGAGAAGCATATTCCTGTAGGGCACAATACATTCACAACAGGCAAAATACCAGCACTCCCAACAGACCACCATTTGCCATACTGAAATCAATTCTTATTTCTGTAGTAGTTGTTGCAAAGACAACTTAATGAATTATTGGTGATCTGTACAATTCAACACAAATTTCAGTTTGCAAGAGAGGGATGCAAAAAAGAATAGGCCCAAATAGGTAGAATTTGTCAAGGAAGAATCTAATCAAATATCCAAAAGGTTACAATGATCTTATGGACAATTACATCCCAGGAGTCCTCGCTCCTGAGCAACTTACCCTTGAGAAAATGTTTTCTAGAGAGCTGGTCAAAGATTTCTTGGCCTTGTTTTTCAGAATGTCAAGTTTGAATCTGCCACCACTAGCTGCGTTCTCTGGAACTGTCGTGTTGGAGGCATTCTGCTGAGACAAAAAGGCAAGCTTTGTCATCAATGTTGCCTACAGAAGACAACGCAAATGTACCCCTGCCAAACTGACCCACAGATATACAAAGTGCAAAACAGAAAAAAGTGCACTTATCTCATGTTGCTTTTTAAAATTTGCAGGGTGTCGTTGCATTAAGTTTTTCTACATGCTACACTTTGGCTTTTAGTGCAACGTAAGGAAACGCGGGTAGGGACGTGGGTGGCGCTGTGGGTTAAACCACTGAGCCTAGGTAGGGCTTGCCGATCAGAAGGTCGGCGGTTTGAATCCCCATGACGGGGTGAGCTCCCGTTGCTCGGTCCCTGCTCCTGCCCACCTAGCAGTTCGAAAGCACGTCTAAGTGCAAGTAGATAAATAGGTACCGCTCTGGCGGGAAGGTAAACGGCATTTCCATGCGCTGCTCTGGTTCGCCAGAAGCGGCTTAGTCATGCTGGCCACATGACCCAGAAGCTGTATGTCAGCTCCCTCAGCCAGTAAAGTGAGATGAGTGCCGCAACCCCAGAGTCGTCCGTGACTGGACCTAATGGTCAGGGGTCCCTTTACCTTTAAGGAAACCAGGTCAAACTAGATACAACACCAGGGGTGCAAAATTCGTCACTGACTTCTTGATGTTGTTGCTATAAACAATTTGGATTGCGGCTGGGCCACAGGGGAGTAGTGACTCTTTTTTTGTGTACTGCAGCCCCAAAGCAAATCAAAAGGTCCCATTGGCCATTCATTCGCCAAAAGCAAAGCCAGGGTTTCAGATTCCAGGAAGTCTCCATGCATGAATATGAAGGCTCATGCTCCCTTGCTACAGGCGTTTACATTAAAAACATTTTTTTGGGAAGTTGTAGGTGGAACTTGTCAACACAGGAGCAAAGAATACTGAATAGGGCTTTAGTTTAACTCAGGCTTCCTCAACCCCGGCCCTCCAGATGTTTTTGGCCTACAACTCCCATGATCCCTAGCTAGCAGGACCAGTGGTCAGGGATGATGGGAACGGTAGTCTCAAAAACATCTGGAGGACCAAGGTTGAGGAAGCCTGGTTTAACTGCTCTGGCATAGTTAACTTTGGCTGGGTTTTATTATCAAGTTTTGTTTCATAGTAGTGAAGTTTTTAACTTAACTGCTGCCTTAACAATATTTCAATCAAGAGGCGGTTTATCATTAAAGGAAGCTATTCTTGTAATGCTCAAGATGGTCGCTCAATAATTTCTACACTATGGCACTTATCATTCACCGTCTTCCTTATTCTGAAAACAAAATCAACTTGCAAGTCCCACCCCAAGGCTAGAGTTTCCCACCTCTCTCACAAGGCTAGAGCTTAGGGTCACCCAATGAAACTGATTGGCACAACACATAATTGCCCTTTGGAAACCACTGCCACAAAGTGCCATAGTTGACTAGCCTGACCATACATTAACTCAGAGGGATTTCACTGGGACTAAGCTAAATGTATGCTCAGATGTATGCTGCAGCCCCAGAGAAGGTGTTAAGATGGTGATGGGAAGCACTTGGGTTCATATTCTAAGATGTCTTCCGCCATCACTAAACGACAAAACAGGATAAAGAGCCTTACCATTGGGGCCTCTCCAATATGCACGTGAGCCTTTTGTTTAGCTTCACACAGTTGTCGCAAGTGTAAGATCACCAGCTCATTGTCTTCCTGGTCAGTAACGGGCTTCATTTTCTGTTAGGTGGGAAATAAGCAATATATTTTTGGAAATTTGATATCTGCAATTCTGATTCAACTTGATTTTCATAAAACAATAGAAAATTCATTCTTCTAGAAATAAAGTATCAAAATAAATTCATTTCATCACTGAATAATAATAATAATAATAATAATAATGAATGATAATGTTATACCCTGCCCATCTGACTGGGTTTTCCCAGTCATTCAGGGCGGCTTACAGCAGTTTAACAAGCCTTTGGAGTACAGTATACATTTGTGAATGTACTTTTGATTCTTGGTGTCTCTGAGCTAACAATTTGATCCTGTAGTCCCGGTTCCAGAGAATGAATGCCAACCGGTTTGGTTTATTACCTGCACACGCTCAAAGATGTCAGCTTGCTCATTGTCACTGAGAGAGGACAGATGTTTCTGAATCACAAGTTTGGCTCTTGGTGGATAAAGACCTTAAAAAACAACAGAGAGGCAGGCAGACATTGATGAGGTTAAGTTATATTTATTTGACAAACCATCTCACCAAACTTGTTGTAGAACATTAACACTGAATAATGTGCAGTATATTAGCTCATGACAATGTCAAGAAAACCCAGATTTAACAAAATTCAAACCAGTTTGTAAGTTTCCGCTCCACAACTTTTACAAATTCTGTCTTATTACATTCTTAATTTATGGAAGGGGAGAGGGGGGTCTCAAACAAGCAAGCGGGTAAAGAGAACTACCATCAGTGATGTGATTATGTGGTTTTAGGCACTAGACTTCATGATCTTATGGGGACCCTCCTTTTCAGATGCAAGAGAAGATGGCCTCTGCCACGTGCCAAGTGAGATCCATCTTCTCAGATGCACTGCCTTGCCTCAGAGGATTCGAGAGGGAGTTGATACGACACCAGGGACATATTAGGATGAGAGACAGAATTGCCTCCTTCATGCGAGCACCATGTGATTTCTGTCTGTGTGCCACATTTTAATAAAGATTTTGTTTGAGAAACGTTTTCTCGGCCGCTCCGAGAGCCTCTTGGCACTATGAAGTGGGCTTTCCCCTTCACTGGTACCCAATATTTAACAAAATTTAACAAGCATACCACCAGGTCAGGTACCTACTTTCAACTGGAATGCCTCTATCGACTGAAGCACAGTCTTCCAAGATATAGCAGTTTGCTTGTTTGTTTGTTAATAAATATATAAATAAATAAATACCCACCCACCACATGTGACAGAAATCTTCTTTAAGCTGTTGGCGTAGCTAAATCAATGCAAAGTTGTTGTTTTGCATGCATTTTTCTTGCTCAAGGGCAGAATCGTAACTCAGCAGTGGGGTTTCCCCTCCTCTTCTCTCTTAAGGCCAAGGAAGGACGTACCCCTTTCAAAACCCAGGCCTCCCGCAGGATTTCAGTTTGAGAGTTCAATCGGACAGTCACTCGTCGAGAGAGCTGATTATAGGTCCTACATACACCCTTCCAGACCTTGCCAACCTGCCCCCCGCCCCAGACAAAGCTCTTTCTTTTCTTGAAGAAAGCATCAGCTTAAGTCACGGGCTGCACTTGCGCAGACTTGGCACACTTCTCTGCCCACCAGAGGGAGCTGACAACTAAATATGTACTTCTGCTATAAACACATGCCAGCATAGAAGAAAGTAAGCTTTATTTTGGGATGGGGGGAGGGGGGAGTACCATGTGGGTAGCCTTGTCATGCTGTCAGTACAGTGACTAGCTTCCAACGGCCTCCATTTTGAATAAGGTTTCCATATTGCGTTCTTAAAATGCGTGAGTCATCCTTTTGATGGAAATTGTTGCCCAGGATGAGTTAAGGCTCATTTAGACTACCTTTTGCTCTGCATTTTCCAGGCACAGGGTCCATGTTGTGCTTCCCCCCGGGAAACCCATGTTTCTCCGCTGAATCAAAGCAAACGGCAATTGGTTTCCCACTCGCTGCCATTTGCCCTGATTCGGTGGTATGTATGCTGGCATCCGCCTGTTCACGAGACCTTATATAAGTGCGCCTTTGGGGGTAGTCAAACCATTGGAGAGTTACAGCACTGTAGAGACCGATATGGGAGAGACAGGTTTTGTTGCAGGTGGGGCTGAGGAAGGTGTCCGGTTTTGCTGCTATGGGTGCACCAGGGTGTTGCTTCTCTCATTGCTAAGATGTGGGTTTTCCTGGTGAAAGCACCAAGACAAAAACAACAATACTAGACCCGTGCCTAGAAACACAGCACAAAAGGAAGTATGGATGAGCCTTTATAGACATCAAACAAATATATAGGAAAATAGCACTGTTCAGGTGGAATGACCAGCCAGGGTAGGAACCAAATGGACCCCTCCATATATTTCAGAATACCAAACACAGTTGTACCTTGGATCCCGAATGCCTTGAGAGTCTAATGTTTTGGCTCCCAAATGCCGCAAACCCGGAAGTGAGCGTTCCGGTTTGCAAACGTTCCAATCGGAAGCCATGACTTGATTTCCAAATGTTTTGGAAGTTGAACGGACTTCCGGAACGGATTCCGTTTGACTTCTGAGGCACCACTGGGTGGTCTGTAGGGAACAAGCTGTTGCCTTCATGAACTGTTGTGTGGGTTTTGCAAAATAACCTCTCTAGCCACCAATGGAAACACAATTACTGAACGGACTAGCTAGACCTTGGTCTGATTTTGCAGAGCTCTTCTTTTGGATAGGATTCAGCCCCTCTTCCTTTCCTTTAAAAGGCGACAATCTGGCACATGCCCTATTTATGGCTGTGACAGGAATCCTAAAACCTTATAACAGGAAGGGGGCCTATAATAGGTGGGTGGGCCTTCTTGATACAGAACCAAATATCCACAAGAAGCAGTTGTTGTTGTTTATTGAATTTATATAACACCCTATAACCACAAAATACATAATAAAAATAAAAACAACAACCCTATAGCCCCCCCCCCAAAAAAACACATTTTAAAAGGGCATTGGATGTAAATCAGATCATCCAAAGGCCTGGTTAAAAAGGAAGGTTTGTGCCTAGCGCCTAAGGTGTGTAATGAAGGCGCCAGGTGAACTTCCCTGGGGAGAGCATTCCACAGATGGGGAGCCACTGCAGAGAAGGCCCCGTTCTCGTGTTGCCACCCTCTGGACCTCTCGAGGAGGAGGCACACGAATAAGGGCCTCAGATGATGATCTCAGAGTCCGGGTAGTTAAGTTACATTCTCTCACAGTTATGGCAATCTAACGTAAATTACAGCCTTAACCAGGCATTTATGGACACTGGAAGATTTAGCATGGCACCCTAAGCGAACAGGCTTGACTGTTACTGCGAAACAAGGCCCCGTGGCACCTTTGGGTGCAAAGCACAATGCTCCAGATTCAGCAAGCAAGCAAGCAAGGGCTCACAACTACCTTCAATCCTTTCACAGAGCTTGTGCAGTGAGTGCATTGGGCAGGCCTCGCACAGCTTAATCTGAGTCTTGGCACTCTGGAGGGCTGCAGCCGTGCTGAACGCTTGTTTGAGAGTGAGCATTACTTCATCCACCTGAAAAGGGAGGATTAAAATCCAATGAATCCTATGTGTGCATTTTAATACCAGTTACATAAAAATACATACATACATACATATTTAAAACCAGACACTAGATTTTCAATCTAGTTAGCAAACCACTGAGTTACCATTAGAAATAAAAAAGCACAGCAAACTGAGGTGATGCTCCTACAGAAATGAATAGGAGTTACACAATGGCTAAGAACCCTTTCATTTCACTACAGCGTCTGTGGAAGAATCTGCCAGTGTCCTGTGTCCTATTTTCATTTAAATGGGTTGTTAAAATTAGACTGATTTTGCAGGCTCTGTTTCACATTTGGGTTGCTGTTGTGTTTTTTAAAAAACAAGTGCTGTTTTTCTTGTGTTGTTGGTTGTTGTTTTTAACACAGCTGAATTGTTTGATAATAGGGATCGGAAACTTAACTTTTCCAATAAGCATAATGAAGTTATTAAAACCTACTCCTGGATAGAATTTAATTTAGAGAACTGGGCCTTTATGTAGTGGGACTAAAAGGAGCTGAAGACAAGCTACCAACTTATTAGTAACCAACTGAACAGCTCGCCAGCCTTTATTGTTTCCAGACGGCAGTCTGGGCCGTGCTCCCCGTCCCCCTCCCGCCCCGACACAATCGCAAATAGAGGCAAGCAAAATTCCCACACTCTCCCACGTTAGAGGGGGGCAAACTTTACATTCTCTGTCAGGAAAAAGGTCAGAGGTTACAAGGCTTCCCCTCAAGTGGTATAGAGATTCAAATCCATTTTCATGCCCCGCAAAGAAGCCTTTCAGTATCTCCTTTCCCTTCCTATATTTTATGTTGTGCCGTTTAAGAAAGCCAGACCTCGAGTCTGGAAAAATCTGGAACAAGATTCGCTTTTTACAGTAGCTTCTAGTGTGCTTTGAACTTCTTTTTTTGCATTTGGACACGCTTCCACAGCTTTCTTGTGAAGAATATTTGCCATGCAAGGAAAGCGAGGCCCTCGTCTATGGACTGTTGCTTAGCAGAGTGTTTGGTGGCTGTGAAATTTTCTCTTTCCAAAGATCACATCATCTTTATCATTTAGATCCTAACTGTTCGAAGCCTTAAATGGCAAAGGAGCCTAAGCACAGATTTCTGTTTTGACTCTTCTGTCAAAACAGCTTTTAGTTACAATTGGCGCCATTCTCACCACCTGAAATTACAGAATAAAATTCTGTCCTGCCGGTATAGAAGCTCCGAAGGCAGTTGTGCATGCATAAACTAGTGTATTAAGTTATCTGTGAGGCATGTAGGAAGTAATGTCAATCAGGCATCGGAACAAGCGATACCCTTTTTGCAACTATGGGTGTTGGTTGTGGGAGGAAGGCAGCTATTAAAATCTTTTAAGATTATAGTACTTTGGGTGGGTACTGTTGGGTTTTTCCTGGGATTTCCCCTGCTACTGCAGCATCATAGACTCTTGAATCCCAGGGTCTTTCCGCCTGGCCTTGTGATGATGTCGCTGTCCATATCTTGGTGAAGAGAAAAGGGAGATGAGCTGTGCTTCATTACCCTGCTCAAAATGGGTATGAAATATCTGCTGAATGTGCCCTGGCACATGCAATTACTGCCACAAGGATGTGGGAAGGAAAACAAAGACTAGAAGCGTGTGTTGCTCTCCCCCCCCCCATTGTCCAGAACTAAGAGTCACAAGGAGATCACGCTATGGATTTGGCCTGTGTCCAAAAAGAAAAAAGGAAAAAAAGGGAAAACAAATATCTTACCACATTTTTGAAGTTTAGATACAAATCACTAGATGAACGGAAGAATACAGTAAACAGTAGTGACTTACCAGAGATTCGCTTGCACACTGGAACACATAGCAAACATACTGATTGATCCCAGGTTCCGCAGATTCCCGACAAATAAAACCAAAGTGATCTATGTGTCTTATGCCCTGGAGAGAAATAAAAAGAAAAGCTAAACATACAGTAAAAAATTAACTGATGCTCATCAACTACCGATCATTAGGACTCTAGCATTTTTTTAAAAATCAGGTGTAACTAAACCTACTTTTCCTGTACAGTGGTACCCCGCAAGACGAATGCCTCGCAAGACGGAAAACCCGCAAGACGAAAGGGTTTTCTGTTTTGGAGGCGCTTCGCAAGACGAATTTCCCTATGGGCTTGCTTCGCAAGACGAATTTCCCTATGGGCTTGCTTCGCAAGACGAAAGCCCATAGGGAAATCTCCGGGGACCTGTTTTAAATGCTGGTGGTGGGGAGCAAAGCCTTTCCCCCCCTCCGGCCTTCAGAAGAGGTCCAGGAAGGCCGGCGGGGGCCGAAAGGCTTTGCTCCCCACCGCCAGCATTTTAAAAGCAGTCCGGCATAGCAGGGAAGCGCTTCCCGCTATCGCGGACGGCTTTTGAAGGCAGGCGGGGGGAGCAAAGACTTTCGCCCCCCGCCGGCCTTCAGAAGAGGTCCTGGCAGCGCCTTTCTCCGCTGCCACCGACGGCTTTTGAAGGCAGGCGGGGGGGGGGGAAGACTTTCGCCCCCCGCCCGCCTTCAGAAGAGCTCCTGGACCTCTTCTGAAGGCTGGTGGGGGGCAAAAGTCTTTGTCCCCCCTGCCTGCCTTCCCAGGGGCTTTTAAATCGCCCCGGACAGCGGAGAAGTCCTCCGCTGTCCCCGGGTTTTTTAAAATGCTGGGGGTGGGAAGAAAAGCCCTTGTCCCCCCCCCAGCCTTCAGAAGAGGTCGGGGACAGACTGTCCCCTGGCCTGGTCTGAAGTCGGTTTCCCTAGGAACGCATTAATTGATTTTCAATGCATTCCTATGGGAAACCGTGCATCGCAAGACGAAAAACTCGCAAGACGAAGAGACTTGCGGAACGAATTAATTTCGTCTTGCGAGGCACCACTGTATAGTGCTTCCCAATCACATAGATAGAAAAACCATGATCCTTTTGTGGTTGTTTTAAAGAGAGCGTATAAATATATACAAACATTTCTGAATATACAATGCTCCTTGCTCCAACACAATCTCCAAAAAAGAAACAAAGCAAACAGATCACTATTTTGAATTACTACACCGAAGAGTCAGGATCATTTTTCTGACTTTTGTTTCTGCTTCCACTGCCTATTCCTCCTCTCAGTATACATTTATGACACTCCCCCAAAGCCCTGTGAATCTAGAAGGACCCCAAAATAATGTGTGTCCTTTCTTTCTGAGGGGAGCATGAGAAGATCAGAAATGGTTAAGTCTCTACTTGGCATAGCTCCTGACTTCTAGGCCCCAGCATACAAAATGAAAATGGTGGCAGCCTCAGCTGGAGTTGAAATGGGTCACATGCAGTGTTTATTTGTATACAATGGTACGTGTATAAAATGTGTATGCTCATCTGGTACGCTGGCCGAGACTGCAACACGCTCTACCCGGGGCTACCTTTGAAGGTGACTCAGAAGCTACAACTAATCCAGAATGTGGCAGCTAGACTGGTGACTGGGAGCGGCCGCCGAGACCACATAACACTGGTCTTGGTACATTGGCTCCCAGTACGTTTCCGAGCACAATTCAAAGTGTTGGTTGTTGTTTAGTCATGCCCGACTCTTCATGACCCCATGGACCAGAGCATACCAGGCACTCCTGTCTTCCACTGCTTCCCGCAGTTTGGTCAGACTCATGTTTGTAGCTTCGAGAACACTGTCCAACCATCTGGTCCTCTGTCGTCCCCTTCTCCTTGTGCCCTCCATCTTTCCCAACATCAGGGTCTTTTCCAGGGAGTCTTCTCTTCTCATGAGGTGGCCAAAGTATTGGAGCCTCAGCTTCACGATCTGTCCTTCCAGTGAGCACTCAGGTCTGATATTCCTTCAGAATGGATAGGTTTGATCTTCTTGCAGTCCATGGGTCTCCTCCAGCACCAGAATTCAAAAGCATCAATTCTTCAGAGATCAGCCTTCTTTATGGGCCAGTGTTGGTACTGACCTTTAAAGCTCTAAACCAGGCATCCCCAACCTTTGGCCCTCCAGGTGTTTTGGCCTACAACTCCCATGATCCCTAGCTAACAGGACCAGGGGTCAGGATGATGGGAATTGTAGTCCAAAACATCTGGAGGGCCAAAGGTTGGGGATGCCTGCTCTAAACGGCCTTGGCCCTGTATACCTGAAGGAGAATTTCCATCCCCATCGTTCAGCCCGGACACTGAGATCCTCCTCTGAGGGTCTTCTGGTGGTTCCCTCACTGCGAGAAGTGAGGTTACAGGAAACCAGGCAGAGGGGCCTTCTTGGTAGCCTGTGCAATGCCCTCCCATCGGATGTCAAGGAGATAAAGAACTACATAACTTTTAGAAGACATCTGAAGGCAGCTCTGTATCACGAAGTTTTTAATGTTCGATGTTTTACTATGTTTTATATATGGTGTAAGCTGCCCAGAGTGGCTGGGGAAACCCAGCCAGATGGGCAGGGTATAAATAATAAAATAATGATGATTATGTTTGAAGTAGTTTTGTAGTAAAATGGAAAACATGAAAAATAAAGTGATTTTAAGAAGCCAAGAACAGCACTGACCACACTAAACAGTTTAAAGGAGGAAGGTATTCATTCTGCAATCCTATGCATGCCTATTTGTGAGTTAAGTCCTACTGAACTCAGTGGGGGTTATGGGGTTTTGCCAGCAGTTTACAACCCTCCACGTGCTGCTGGTCTATAGCTCTCCCCATGCATTATCACTGGTCATGCTGACCAGAACAGATGGGAGTTGTAGTCCAACATCATCTCGTGGATCCCCTCAGTTATATCATAAAGTCCTTGCAGAAGAGAAGTTCAAGGACTTCAGACATCAACAGAAATGGAGCAGAAATTCGTACTGAATCAAAAGCAAGCAGACAATTCTCTTTCCTTCACCAGCACTAAGGGAGCGAAAGTAACCACAGGGCTGCTTCTTACCACAACACAGTAAGTGAGACAACTGTGTGTAAGGGGGAAAACCCTAAAACTTAAAACTGGTGTGCCTGTCACTTCTCTCCTCTTAGGTCTTCCCTGGGAAGGTTTTTCAACATCCCAAGAACAACAGGTGAGTTTGTTTTATTGTTCTCAGTACAGGGAAACTCTCATAGCTGCTTCTGACACGCAACGCCATACTGATGTGGTTTGATATTTGTGATCTGCTTGTACAAGTTCAATGCATGCAACCTTCCTGCAAAAGTGTCAGTCACTAGAAAACAGCCGGCTGGAAGTGGCGTTGCTATTTTAGTCTCTAAAACCGGTGATGAGGAAACTAAGAACACAGCAACCGCTTCAAAATATGATGACGTGATGAAGGTATTTGCCTGCAAGTCTGGTTAGAAAACAGTGGCTGCAACCGAGCAATAGAGAATTGCAAGCAGAAACTGCCTTCCACACACAAAGCCCACAGAAGCATGTATCTCACTATCTCTATCGCAAAGCACATTCAATGGTCAGGTCCATCTGTTTTGCACATGTAACAGGATTAGCTGTCACGACGAGACCCCATTTTGGGGGGGAAGGGGAATGATCAAGAAATACCCAGCGCGCTATTTCATCATTTGTCTCTTTGATACTTTTAATTTTAGATGTGAAGAACAGTTAAGATTTTCACCTGCAATTACCTTAATAAAGAGAATGAACTGAAACTTCTCTTTCAATAAGTAGGCAAAGCATGTTGAAAGTACCCACTGATCTTTCAATTTCATTTTATTTTTAATTTCAAATTGTTGTTCTAAATGATAACCTAAGAAAAAGTGATTACCACAAGGAGTGTTTTATCCAAGCTTGGATACCCACCTGAGAACATGAGGAGATATCTTTAAAGTTCTTCTCAAACACAACCGATTTCGTATCTGGACTGATGAGGTTAATTTCAAATCGACCAACCTTGAAAAGAGAGAAAACAACAACAACATGTTAAGGCAATCAGGACATCATGGACAAATAGCTATCCTTGAGACTTGAGGTGCCAGAAATTTTTACTCGCGCCTGTTTTTCAAAGAGAAGCGTATCAAAAACTGGTGTTATGCCAACAGTAATGATTAAGGACAGGGTGACAGTTCTGCTAAGCCACCTGAAAGCAATCGGAATAGAGAAAGAGGAACAGGCATATAATATATTTACTTTTGTTTTATTCAGGATTCCACTTTATCTATGGGATGAGTAGTCAGTCATGCAAGCTCCCACAGGCTTGAAGTCTCAGTAACAACAAGCCTCTCAAATGTTCCAAAAAGTCAAGGCAACTGGAAATATTCAGAATAAAACTAGGTGACAGAAGATGAATAATGGGAATTACGAGGTACAGAAAAATAGTCAAGAGGAACCAGGAAGAGCATCAGCATGCAGTTTAAGAATAGACATTGATGAATTTGCTCTAAATGCTACAGTAATAACCTTGCCTGCAAATATTTTCAATTTAAAGGATCTTGAAGATCATCTTAACCAGTCATCCAGAAGCTAATCTCACATGTTTACAGATTTAACAAACACCAAAAGCAGAAAGTGAACAGGACAAGGACTTTTATCAGCAGTACTGTACATCAAATTGCTGGCTGTGTTATCAGCTGAACATATACAGTATCTTTTTCAGTATATAATTAGCTTTGGTATGCTTTTAAGGGGGTGGTCAACCAAACAAAAACATAATTTAGAGACACTGCTCCATTATTTAGAGCCATTGCTTCCTCAGTGCTACAAACTACAATCCTGGCCTCACAGGTTAAAACCTACCAACCATCACATATTCCTATCAAAATTTATATTTCATTTTGTGAAATTTTCTCCTCTCGCTCCATTTGCTGAACATATTATTACTTTTTTTTTTTACCATTTATAACTTGCATACTGGGCCAGGAGAACAGCATATGTTACAGACAACTCTCTGATTTCCAGCAGCCTTTAGCAATGCTAGCCCCAGACCTAGGCTAGATCTACACTGACCTGTAAAAATGCTTTAAAAAAGTAATATAACTCTCAATGCAATTTTCCATTGGCAGTGGATCACTGCTCTATAGCGCCCTCTGATGTCACAGGTTTATAACGCATTTTTAACGTTTTAAGTGACCACTGTAGATGAATCCTTAGTAAAAAGGTAACAAAAGGGAGAGGGGAGAGGCCTGAGAGTAAAATGAAGGAGCAAGTAACTTGTAAGGAAAGATGAAAAAATATCTAGGGGAGGAACAGAAGCAGTAAAGGAAGGGCTGAAATGGCTTTGAGCAGCATGGATCAGCGTGGATGACTACAGTCTCCGCTCTCTCGCTCTCTCTCTCATGCATGCGAATGCCCAACCCTGTCCTGGGTCTCCTCGTTAGCTGTAGTAAAATTGAGTTTCAGGTATAAAAACCCAAGTTCCCAACAATCTAACGAGTGAGAATCAATGGGGTATTCATAGTAAGCATATAAACCAGGGGTCGACAACCTAAGGCCCACGGGCCACAAGCGGCCCAGGGGGGTCGTTTAACCGGTCCATGGACCCCCGCTGCCAGCTCAGTCGGCTCCCGTGCTAAACTGGCGCAGAACAGAGCAGGGACCGCCTTCTGCGATGCTGGCTGGCTTCCCATTGGCTGCAGGAAGCTCCTGTAGCCAATGGAAAGCTGCGTACGCCTCCTCTGCGCTGGAAGGAGCGCCAGAAATAGTGTTTGTGCATATGTGCGCGCGCACACACACACTCTGGCCCACTGCGGGACCGTGAACTGGCCCAAGCCACAAAAACTTTGCCAACCCCTGATATAAACTATTGCCTTTAACCAGGCAGAGGGCCTTCTCGGTAGTGGCGCCCTCCCTGTGGAACGCCCTCCCACCAGATGTCAAAGAGAACAACAACTACCAGACTTTTAGAAGACATCTGAAGGCAGCCCTTTTTAGGGAAGCTTTTAATGTTTGATGTATTACATTATTTTAATATTTTTGGAAGCCGCCCAGAGTGGCTGGGGAAGCCCAGCCAGATGGGCGGGGTATAAATATTATTATTATTATTATTATTATTATTATTATTATGCCTGCAAATTCTGGAATAGCATTCATGTTGGCCATAGTCCTATACACACTTGTTAGGGAAAAGTTCCATTTAACTCAACCGGGCTCACTTCTGTAAGGCACTGCACTGTTTCGTAATAAAAACAAGGAGCTTTGCAGCATCTGAAGATTGTGAACTGATGGCACAAGTTTTTGTGGACTACAGTCTGCAACGTTAAGTGTAATTTTTAATTTTAAATCCTCTTAGCAGATCTGCCTGCCAAAAATAGTTGCCAGGGCTGTTTAATATATCTGTGTTTGTACACGTGCAGATATATATATATATATGTAAAAATATTGTTTCATTAAAAGAACAATTATACGCTACAGCCCGAAACATAAACTGGGGAGGAAGTCACATTGGAAATTTGTTTCTGAATAAATATGAACAGGGCTATACTGTAAACAAAGCTGTGTTTGTTTTATAGGTACCTCCTTAAGTTCCATCATGTGTCATTCGAGTTCCCTGATAATCTCCCATGCATGCACTAAACAGATCCAGACCTGTCTAGCTTCTGCAAAGTTCCTGCATCAGATACTGGCAACAACTGCATCAAAACCTAAAGGGTAATCTACCTGGTTAGCAGAAAATTTAATAGTCCTGTGGAAAAAGAATAGTTTTACCCTGCCTGCTAAATTTAGGAGTGATGGCACAGCCTTTAAGGCCCTTCAGGAAAGGTATACAGAGGTGTGGCATCACCACAGATCCCCACTAATTGTAAAAGATAATGTTGTATTATTAGGAAATTAAATCTATGCATAGCTAACTCTGCGTTCAACAATTAGCACTTGGGGAAGCCATTGGGTGACTGAACTCTCCCCAATGCAGTGTAGCAATGCTTAGAACCGGGATGACAGCCTTATCTTGCCTCCTGCTTTTTTGGGTTATTTTCGGTATAAATTCTAAATATATATACACACACAAAAAATAGGTATTTGATTGCTATGGTACATTATCTTGCATTCCCTTTCAGCTCTGTTCAAATGCACAATTGCAGTAGCTTAAGTATGGCTTGGTGCAATGTCCAAGCTATAAACTATGGTTGATTACTGGCCAGCAAATCGACTGAGTAAAATACGTTCTGAAGTAGGTTAGCAAACCGTAGTTTGGCATGATGTCTGACCTGAGAAACCATTGTAATATTCACTGTTCTGCTGCAGAATGGAGACAAGTGCACAGGGAAACAAATAACATGAAATGAAAGCAGAATAACTCTTAACATAGCTTATATTTTATTGTTTTAGTAGCCAAACCATGGTTTGAGTGTCCAACTACTGGTTTAGTTCAACTGTAAGTCATTTGACAGACAAATTCTCGTAGTCAGTTTCAGGCCCAAAGAGGCAACACTTTTAAGAATTTAGAAATTTAAATGCTTAAGAACATTGACCACTAATCAGAAGTTGGGAACCTTGTCTTTCAACCTATTGCACAATTTCAGCCTCTTATTCTGTTCGCCTTATGACTGAAAACCATGGTTGTACCACTAAACACTGATGTTAAGATTCATTTTGTTTTACTGATGAAGCTTTAGGTGCAAACACAATTTTGATAAGAGAGCTTATTGTCTGAGAGCAAGTTCATGCTGCAGCTTGCAAGAAGTATAGAGCAGCTATCGCTGGTGCTTTGCGACCAACAGTACCTCTCCAACTCTGATGCATTGATTGGGAGTCTGTTTGGACTAATAAGGGATCTGTGTAAGGATCTTCCCCTGCTAACTTGTGTTTTTCAGTCCTCTCCCCCATGTTTTTCAACATCTACATGCAGCCGCTGGGAGAGATCATCAGGGGGTTTGGGCTGGGTGTCCATCAATATGCAGATGATACCCAGCTCTACCTCTCTTTCAAATCAGAACCAGTGAAGGCGTTGAAGGTCCTGTGTGAGTGCCTGGAGGCGGTTGGAGGATGGATGGCGGCTAACAGATTGAGGTTGAATCCTGACAACACAGAAGTACTGATTTTGGGGGACAGGATGCGGGCGGGTGTGGAGGACTCCCTGGTCCTGAATGGGGTAACTGTGCCCTGAAGGACCAGGTGCGCAGACTGGGAGTCATTCTGGACTCACACCTGTTTATGGAGGCGCAGGTCAATTCTGTGTCCAGGGCAGCTGTTTACCAACTCCATCAGGTATGCAGGCTGAGACCCTACCTGCCTGTGGACTGTCTCGCCAGTGTGGTACATGCTCTAGTTAGCTCTCACTTGGACTACTGCAATGCGCTCTATGTGGGGCTACCTTTGAAGGTGACCTGGAAACTACAACTAATCCAGAATGCGGCAGCTAAACTGGTGACTGGGAGCAGCTGCCAAGACTATATAACATTAGTCTTGTAAGACCTACACTGGGTCCCAGTATGTTTTCGAGCACAATTCAAAGTGTTGGTGCTGACCTTTAAAGCCCTAAACAGCCTCGGTCCAGTATATCTGAAGGAGCATCTCCACCCCCATCGTTCTGCCCAGACACTGAGGTCCAGCACCGAGGGCCTTCTGGCAGTTCCTTCGCTGCGAGAAGCCAAGTTACAGGGAACCAGGCAGAGGGCCTTCTCGGTAGTGGCACCCGCCCTGTGTAACGCCCTCCCACCAGATGCCAAAGAGAACAACAACTACCAGACTTTTAGAGGACACCTGAAGGCAGCCCTGTTTAGGGAAGCTTTTAATGTTTAATAGGTTATTGTATTTTAGTGTTTTGTTGGAAGCCGCCCAGAGTGGCTGGGGAAACCCCGCCAGATGGGCGGGGTATAAATAATAAATTATTATTATTGTTGTTGTTTGTTAGTGATCAGATTCCAAGCATGTTTGTACAAAAGGACTCCAGCTTAAAGATATGAAGTAAAGATACAGTAGTATGTGAATTTGTCTACCTCAATCCATTCCCATTCACTCCACCCTCCTGGCTGCGAATATTCTGGATTACACACAGGGCATACCTGAAAAAGCATTGTCCTGTTCTTTTCGGAGTCAGAAGGCTGGACGTGGCTAGGGGCACTTGCGTGACGTCTCCGGGATTGTGTTTTCAAACTATTGTCATGAACCTTCCTTTGCATGACACCCGTAACACTGCTGCACCGGGATCGGAACTCCTGCTGCTCATCAAACCCTGAATCCTCCAAAATGCGCTCGGGGAAAGAGACGCGGGAGCTGGCCAAGCTGGCCAGGTTGGGCTGGCTTCCAACTATGAACATCCCGGGGCTACCACCGTTTAGGCCGTCCACCTCCTCAAACGGACTATCCAAGGGAGAAGAGGGAAGCTCCCCATCGCACTCCATAAGATCCGTGATCGATTCCGCATTCCTCTGCTCGCTCAAGAGTTTCAGGCGCTGACGCTCGTGCAGGTTGAACTTCTCGATGCAGTCGTCAATCAGGCTGGAAGGCGCCTTTTTGTGTGCCACCGTCACTTTGCCACAGTACAGAACCTCAAATTTTTGAGAGTTGTAGAAGGCATCTTCGCTGTCTTTGTTAGGCTTGGCGTCCTCTTTCAGGGCTGCTTTGCAAACCTGTCTTATGCTGCTGATGACATCTGGAACCTTTAGAAAAGGAGAAAGAGAAACATCATTAACAAAATGAAAACAGAAAACTTTTTAACAAAAAGAGAGGCGCTTCCTTTAGGAGAGGGGCGCTGTCTCTGGAGCGGAGGTTTACCTTACGCTTGCCTTGAATGGGCGTCCAGAAAAAGGGGTAATCCAGTCCGTACACAGAAGGAAGATCTTATGGAAGATTCAAACAATTACCTATAAAATGACCTGATTACCTGGACTGGAGAGCGTGAGGATTAGGGGCTGTAGGCTCTCTCTGTTTTTGCACTGATTCTAAATAGAATTCAGATATGCCTCTGTAATTATCAATTGCTCCATGCATTCATGAACAGGACGCACTGAAAAATCAAAGCATAACCAAGACAGGGGGTGGATCTCTGTTATCACCTCTCCCCCCACAAAGACACACGCTTCAGTTTGGGCAGGGGACAATGACATCTACTAGAGAAGTATTTGCCAGTACTGCAAGCTTGGAGAAGAGGGTGAAGAGCACAGATTGTCTAACTGTGGTCCATGGACCACCAGAACTCCACAAACTTCATTCTGGTAGTCTGCAGCATGTTTACATTGATTACAATTGTATTTGACTGCTTCTTTCATTTCTTATATTACATTTTATTGATTTGCAATTTGAATTCGATGGAATGCAAACTGAAATACAATAAACTACAGTAAAAGAAATGAAAGAAGTAATAAAATATAATTAAAAATATATTAAATATTAAAAGTTAAATATATAATTATATAAATATAATTAAAAACCATACAGCACCTAGCAGAGCACATTACAATTGCTACAACAGGCAGAAAAATGCCTAACTGGTTTAAGCAATTCTACCAACACTTCTAATCACAAGTGTTCGAGCCCTAGAATCCTCAGAAACATTCTCCATCATGACTATTAAGCATAAAAAGCATCCTTTCTTACGACAGTAGAATTTGTGCAACAATTTCAAATTTCAAAGACTTGAGTATGGATAAGAAATTTGTTCATTATAAAGGTGACTTTCTACTTGAACTTCAACATCAGCTTGATCTCACAGGTTTAGAAAAGATACAACCCAATAGTTCCTTTATTTAGTTTGAGCGTTGACCTATCAAAGGAAAATATGACATGCTCCCATACTATAAAAATTATCCATTTGGAGTTTGAATACATACAATTTTTGGAGAATTCAAGCGACCATGGTAGGTGGTGGTGGGAATGGACAAGGTAGGGCAGCCAATTTTCATTTGATGGGAGACGCTTTACAGTAGCACAAAACCACCACTGGATGCAAGCTTATGTTGACCACCATATCCATTTTGGATACGGAAAATGGGAAATACATAGCAATACAATACTTCAAGTGAAGAAGCCTGTGAATAGTATTAGTTCTGCCACACATCTCACATATAAAAAGCTGAAGATATTCTGCTAGTAAATTTCCCCCAAAAGATGAAATGCTATACATATAACACACTAGCTGCATGAATATTTTCTTTATGAATTTTTTAGGTAAGCGCTTAAGATTTAGTAAGCTAGAAGCTTCTCCTATTCCATATGTAACAAAGTGGTACCTTGTTATTGGCATTTCAGCAGAACAGTGAAGGCATTCTCAAAGTTCTACAGAACCCCAGAAACAGAAAGAGGACTTTATTTAGAAAGACTTTCTTCCTCTGCAAGGAAAAAAAGTCTCTCTTGCTACAGAATTGGCAGCTATTTCACGGCATTTCCTTAGACACTCTGTTCACAGCAACAGTGGCATGGTTTTTCAAGGAACAGTCATTACAGATTCCCAGTCTCAGTCAGTTTTATTGCACATAGCCAAAGGCTGCCGCAATGTACACAGAATTATTTGACAGTTAAAAGTAAATATACTGAATTGGTAAAAAAAGGCTTAAAACATTTATATTATTAAAACATTACATACTCTAAACAAAGCTATAAAAGTACCCCAATGTACAAATAAAAACATTAAACAATAAAATTCATAAGCTAAAATCATCACATGGTCACTAATGTTAAAAACAATATCAATTAATACAGTGTGCAATTTATACTCGGAGTTTGGTGACAAAGATAGAGCATAGCCTGAGGTAGATAGATAGGATCAAATAAATTCATCTCCTTTACAGTTAATGGCTACCTTGGCTATATAATTTGCTCTAATTTTCCTAGCAGCAGTTGCAAAAAGTGCTACCCGCCAGGTCACATACTTATCTGTGTCTGCAAGGAGATATAACATCATATCGAGGGGGTTCTGGCCAGGGGACCCTGTCATTATAGGTACCAAAAATCTTTTTCTTGCATCATTATATAACGGACAGTGCAAGATATAATGCATAAGGTCCTCTACTTCAGAACATCCCCTAATGCAAACACGTTCGTTTTTTGGTATGCCTCTATGTCTCCCATCTCTATAAGCAGAGCTTATTGTATTTAGTCGTAGCTCTGTAAAAGCTTTTCGAAGCTGTGCAAAAGTCAATTCATTAAAATAAGATATGTGTTCATTGACCTCTCTAAGTTTAAAATACAATGGGGCGCATGTAGATGTGCACATAGAGTTTAGATCGTTTTTAGTTGCCACTGCCCTTATGGTTCGTTTAAAAATATTTTTCTGTGAATATAAGGGGAGTTCTTTAATCTCAGTCACTGAGAGATCATATTTGCCCATCAGTTGGGCAGCATGATGTACCCAGTTTTTAAGGGGTAATCCATTTGAGAGCTCAATCAGGCATTTTTTTGGTAGCCTAGTGTTGTCCATCTGTTGAACTCTAAACCAGTAACAGAGAATTCTTTTATCTATTTGGCTCTCTATGCTCAACATGTGAGTTTCCAACCTGACCATGGCAGATTGCACGTCTTTGGGTAAACCTAAAAGAACTCTTAAAAAATAATTCTGTGGGGGTTCCAGACCGGAGACCTTTGAGGTACCCCAAACCTCTGCGCCATATAAAATCTGGGCCATTGTTTTTGCTTTATACACAGATAGAGCTGGGTTGACCAGATTTCCACCTTTACATGCAGCGAATTTCAGAATGGCTTTTGCTGATTTAAAGGCTTGCAATTTGATATTGGATAGCTGTGTATTCCAAGATGCCGTTTCTGAATAAATCAATCCCAGATATTTAAACGTATTTACTTGGTTTATGATGTGTTCATCCAGGTGCCAAACATGCTTTTTGGAACACTTCCCAAATACAATGACCTGCGTCTTGTCATAGTTTATAGATAAAGCATTCCTCATGCAATATGAACTTAATTTTGCAAGCAGCCGTCTCAGGCCCACCTGGGTTCTAGATACAAGTACTAGGTCATCAGCATACATTAAAACTGAGAGTTTTTGGTCGAGAATTGTGACAGGGGCAAACTGTAGGCCCTCCAGTTCTTTAACCATGTCATTAATATAAAAATTGAACAGGAAAGGTGCCAAAATGCATCCCTGTTTGACTCCAGTGGTGGTCTTAATTCTAGTGGTGAGATGGCCAGCCAGATCCACCTTTACTTGTATTGATGTGTCAGTATATAATGTTTTGATGAGAAATAATAGACGGAGATCTATATTTGTCTTTTCCAATTTTTGCCACAAAGCGTGTCTTGGGACCGTATCAAAAGCTGACTTTAGATCGATAAAAGCAACATATAATTTTTGCTTCAAGTTATGGATGTATTTACATAGCAGAAAGTTCAGCACAAAGCACTGGTCCAATGTGGATTTCCCTCTTTGGAAACCTGCCTGGACTTCAGATATCACCTTATTTGTATCTGCCCATTCTTCTAGTCTCCCAAGAAGGAGCCTGGCATATAGTTTGGAGGCTACATCTAACAAACTAATGGGTCTATAATTCGCAGGGTTTTTCTTATCACCCTTTTTATATATTGGGGCAATTATGCTCAACTTCCACCCTTCAGGTATACGACCTGAGCTGTTAATGTATGAAAACAATTTTGCAAATATGGGTGACCAGAAATCAGGTCTTATTTTATAGATCTCCATTGGGATCATGTCTTCTCCTGGAGCTTTATTAGCTAGTTGGCTTGCGATTAGCCTCTTAATTTGATTGGGCGTGACGTCTGGCCATTCTGGCAGTTCTGATAACTGGGTATAGTAAACTTGTGGGGATAGGTCAGGGCAGGGGCCATATATTTCTGTAAAATATGTCACCCAATCCTTTCCTTGGACAGATGCTTCTAACGAGTAGCCCAGCGCATTTGTGCCTTGGGCAACCAGATGCCAAAATTTCCGTGAGTCCTTCTGAAGTGCTGCATCTCCCAATTCTTTCCACTGTTGTTCATAATATATTTGTTTCTTGCTTTTAAGTAATAATTTATAGTTGTTTCGTAACTGGGCTACCTCAGCTTGTAGGGCAAGATTGTGCTTATCCTGTTTTAACTTCAATTTTCTAAGTACCCTAGCTAGGTATTTTTTGCTATTCTGACATTCCTTATCAAACCAAGTCTGTCTCTTAAACTTTTTGTTTTTTATCACACTAGCTGTGGTCATCAGTGGGCGCATTTGGTTGATTATGTTCTCATAAAGTCCAATTACGTTTCCTGTTTCTAACAACATTTTCCCCTTTAATAAAGCAAATTCATGGGAATCCAGGATCTGAATCATTTTTTCTTGGACCTGTGCATTCCATTTTAACCTTCTATTTCCAAGTATCAGATATTCTGTTTCATCCAATAATTTAGGAAAGGCAGGAGAAAAGAATAATGTCAGAGATAACTCAAGTGGAAAGTGGTCACTTTCAGCTCTAGGAATTATCCTGAAGGTATCTCGGTTAACTGGCACATTATTAGATGTTAGGATATAATCTATGGTGCTAGTAAATCCTCTGGGGGAGGTAAAAGTAAAATAACCCTCTTGATCCCCTTGACCGTGCCCATTGCATAACAAAAGGTTATGCTTTATTATAAGTTCACAAAGATGTTTCCCAGCGCGATTAGAGGTGGTGTCCATTGCTGCCCTCTGACAGATTTCAGGTTCATCCTCCAAGTTTAGACC